GGAGAGACTGGAATGCGCGTGTAGGTCATGATGCCGTTTCGACGAACTCGATATTATAATATTATAAATATTATCGATCAACAAACAAACAAATTTTTCGAATTAGTTGCTGCTTAGACAGCTCGATAATTATAAATTCCTTCGATAATTTTTTCATAATTTTTTCATGTTTTTATAGCGTTTTCTTTCGACTTTGAGTGACAATTACCGTCTCTATTCCCTTTTTTTATTATTATATATTATTATATACATAAAATGCGTTCTTCAATTCGTTGTTTATAGTTTATGTTATAATAGAATCAATTATCCAAGTTTGAGAGCTTTCTCGGCCTGCTTGGGTAAGGCAATAAATAGTTGGATCATCAACCGTATTCCTCCCTTTTGTCTGTCCAACATCTTATTCTGAACACCGTCAATTCATTTTCCCTCAAATCTCTCCCCAACGATTTCTTTTATTTAAAAAATTTCGGTTTTCGAGAGTAATTAGTGAGCGATTGGTTCATTCCTGTCGGAAATAACCGAAAATAAAAAATAATAGTAATACGATAAGCAGTTAAAGGATTTATAAAAAAATTTCTTGAACAAAAGGGTTTTTCAAATTATAATCGGGTTATTATCAGTGAAATTATGTCGTTCAGTAGTTAAATATCACCAGCGATTTGATTGCGTTGAGTTGAATCGAATTGAGTTGAGTTGTAGACGAAATACCACAGATTGTAGAACATTTATTTCAAGAAAAACTGCCCTTGGTTTAATATAATAGGGTTATATGTGATTGAAAGTGGAAGTGCTTTACATCAAACATTAGCGTGTGAATTGGATAGATATTCTAAGTGATTGCTAGGAAAGGCATTTTCCGTATAACAGGAATATAAAGATATGAGGTTAGATAAAAACAGAAAAACATGGGAATTTGACGGGAAACAAATCTAAGAAATGTAAAATGATTCATAATGATTCACTTAAATGATTCATAATATTGGTAACATTTATTTACTGTGAAGAATTTATTATTTATTTGTTTGGAATTTGAATTTGAGTCTCGCGATATCGAAATTCGCGACACAGTCAGCTATTTACTATTCAAATTGTACAAAATCTTTTCTTTTATTCACACATTTTAGCTAAATTATAAAACCTATCTTATTTACATATTTACAAAGAAAAATAGCTACGAGTAAGTTTCCTCTTGGATACAAAAATAATTTTGTTATCTATCTTTTTATCTATTTGCATGATTGTGAGCCCAACCCACATATGGGCTTCCCGAATCTGTTCATGTTTTTTGAATTATAAACCGAATGCTCTTTTTCGACATTTGTTGTTCATTTCAGATCTGCTATCTAATTATTTTTATTGTCGTAAATTGTAATTTCCGGTAAATATTTTCATTTATCGTCATAAGTGTAACTTTTCCGACACATCCAACTGCTTTACCAAGATATAGAAATTATTTTTGAGTATTATTGATTATCGATTATTCGTTTGGGCATCGCGAACGATAAATTTTTTCTTCTCTCATTAAATTTGTTTTCGACAGGAGTAAACTTGTCATGTGAAAAATCCGGATGGCTGCTGGGGACCCAGCTGTAACTCTATCCCTAAGTGATTCTATGGTGAAAGGATCAAATTTTCTTGATACAGCATCCGCGTCTTTCGTATGATACTTCCAGTCCGGTGGTACATGCGATAAATAAACTGGGCGCAAAATGATCCCAAGGGTTATAAGTAAAATGTGTTCACAAGCCAGGATAATTGCTTGAAATCTATTAAGGAAAATATATAAGCTCTGGTGAGGTATTAGCCGTATCAGCATCAGAACGCTTATGGACATTGCAAGCCAAGAATCACCGTCCACATCCTTTCTTAACATCGTGTGGATATCGCCTGCTTGTCAGAGATCCACTTTCCTCACTTCGAGTCCCGAGTAATTACTGATCCTGGCTCGGAGCAGAAATACTGGCTATATCACTGTGGTAACTCGGGACGAAATGGCGAAATAGCGGTTGTCATGTCTAACAAGTTCCATTCTGCTTTGATTGAATGATCATGAATTTTTTTTTCCTAATACTTGTGTTCGAAAAAAAATGTACGCTAGCGATTGTGAATAAAAATAATAAATGGAAAAGATTATTTAACAGATTCGAGGTAAAAGCGATTGTGGTTAAGATGAGTTATTATGAAAAAAAAAGTTGAAGCAAGGCGAATGAGTGGTTGATTGATCCAAAAAAGATAAATCAAGCCGATTGGGGATTATACTTAGTCGATTATATCAAAATTAAGAGGAAGGTTTTCTTCAAGAGGAAATTTTTTATAGTTGTTTTTTTTTTGATATGTTAATAAGATGGTTTTACAAATTAGCTAACAGATGCATGAACAAAGAAAGAAGAAAAACAACTATGATTTGCATATTGTTGATGTTAAAAGCTTTGTTAAAAACTTATTGTTTTTTCCCCTTTTATGAAATTTAAGAAGGCTTTATGAATTCTTATCGTATTATTATTTTATTATTTTATGTTTTACGTTCGGTTGTTCCCGACAACTTGGTCCCGGTATCGTAGAAAATATCTAGTCACGTGGAACTCCCCAGAAAACTAGTACTTCAACCAAATTGATTACATCTTAGTCAGTCGCCGCTAAAAGATCCCTGTACCAAATAGTTCCTATCACGGCGCTAAAACGGGGAATCTTCATGGATATTATGGTCCGAGCTAAGGTATTAATGATTTGTCTGAAAACTAAATCTGTGGTCACATATGATGAATTAATAATTTGAGATCAAACGCAATAATACAATATTTTAAACGCCATGTAAGTTCTCGTTAAAGGAATTATTGTTCTATTTAAGGAAATCGGTTAAATATCAACTTTGTGCACATGGCGAAATCTCGATCATAGTTGTCGGAACCGAAGGGAAAAAATAAAATAAAAGAAAATAATAGTAATACGATAAAATTCATAAAGCTTTTTAAAATTCAAAAAAAAACAAGATTTTAATAAAGCTTTCCACATCATAAGCAGTATGTAAATATGTATGTAAATCTATGTCAACAATATGTAAATCGCATAAAATTGTTTTTCTTCTTTCTTTGTTCACGCAGCTATTTTATAAAGCCATCTTATTTGCATATCAAAAAAAACCATGAAAAAATTTTCTTTCGAATAAAAATAAATTATGAATAAATAAATTTTTATGTAATTTTTGACCTACCAATATTTTGGAAAAATCACCCAGATTGCAAAGGAGAACCGGTCATGTTGGATTGGCAATATTAAGAATCGCCTTCGCCTTCGCCATCACTTTTTTATATTAACTATTTGCCTTTTATATTAACTATTTGAATATATTCGCTTTCGAACCTATTGAATAACTATTTTTCATTTATTATAGTAAACAGTATTTTTTTAATAAATATTTCAATTCACGGTCGCAAGAGTACATTCTTTTTCCAACAATAGCTGACATCAGGATGTTTATGAATGCAGAGAATCGAGCGACAAATATCCACACCTTGTCCAAATATCGTTTGGATGCTTTTCTAATTCTGGGTCCAGAGCAGTGACTATGGGGAGAATGGATTGGCGCAGTTTAATACAAAGGTTGGTCTGGTGGAACTTGACTGGGGAGAATGAATTCGATTATTTTTATGTCCAAGAATAGATCTCTCGACGAGCTGAAGAACAATGAAGATTTTAATTTTTACTTCTTTCAAGTTTTGAATAGTTTTCATTTTATATATATATGTAATTATATAAAATTTTTGTTGTATTTATGATTTGATCTTGAGCGGCTGTATTATTGTATTATTATTCCGCTGCCTCTCTATCTCTTTCAGAATATTTTCTAGAACTTTTATAGTCATCGAACTTTGAGCTAAATCTTTTTTTTTCTTTTTTTATTCCTCCTTTCTTTTTCCCAAAATAAAAAATAAAATATGTATATATATAAAATCTATAAAATTATAAAATAGTATAAAATATTTGCCTGTCTTTGACAGGAGTAAACCTGTCATGTCAAAAATCCGGATTGTTGCTCGGGACCCATCTGTAGTTCTATCCCCAAGTGACCCTATGGTGAAAGGTCAGGTACACTTGATACGGCGTCCGCATTTCCCGACGCGCATGATACTCCGAGCCCAATTGTACATGCGATAAGTATACAATCCGGGCTTAAAGCGGTCTGAAGGCTAATAAATAAAATATGCTCGCAAGCTAGGGTAATTGCTCGAAATCTATCAAGAGGAACAGCCTTCTGCACGCGCGACGAGATATTAGCCGGATCAGCGCGAAACGTCAGAACGCTTATGGACGTTGCAAGACAAGCGATCACTGTCCACAATCTATCTAAATATCGTGTGGATATCGCTTGCTTGCCGGAATTTTCCTCACTCTGGGTCTTGAGCAATTATTAATCTTGGTTACTGATACTGAGATATAGAGATACTGGCTATATCACTGTGCTGCTTCGAATAACTCGGGAAGAAATGGCGTGATTGACACGTCTGTCGCGAATTCCGATATCGCGAGACTCCCACCAAATTCCAAACAAATAAGTAATCAAATAAATGTTTTTCTGTTATGAGTCGTTTAGCTGATTTTTAGATTGTTTCCCGTCAAATTCCCATGTTTTTCTGTTTTTATCTAAAGCTCTTCTTATTCTTTATCTAATTCATACGCTAATCTTTTTATCTGATTTTATTACAATGCTTGGAATGTTTGATGTAAACCACTCCCACTTTCAATGAGATATAAACCCTATTGGGCCAAATCAGTTATGTATCTTTTTCGAAATAAAGTTTGTGTATCTCGTTTGGTATGTCTCATTCATAATTTGCCCAACCCAACACCACTTAATTCGACTGGATTCAACACAACAGTCAAATCGCTGGTGATATTTAACTACTGAACGACATCACTTCACTATATAAAAAATCCACGACTGACAAGACCCATTCCGCTTTTATTGAGTGGAAACTGGTAAACGGCCGTATGGTCTATGTATGCCTATTTTAAGAGTAAGTTCTGTCTCGGTCATTAGTGTCTATGCTCCAACTCTGTCAGCAGATGATCGAGACAAAGATAAGTTCTGTGCGGAACTTCAATTGCTAACGAAGTCTTTAACGAAATATGACATGGTCATAATCGAGGGAGACTGGAATGCTCGCATAGATCATAATGCCGCTGCGATAGCCTCAACAATTGGCAAATATGCCATCGGAGACCGGTGTGCCAATGGGGGATGCCTTCTTTGGATAGTATGAATTTTTTGTTATTTCCGGCATCGTAAGAAACATCTAGTCACGTGGAATTCCTCGGACAACCTACACTTCAACCAGATTGATTGTATCTTAGTCAGTCGCCGTTGCAAGAGTTGACTTGGCCTTGAGAATGGAGAAAGTAGCATCTCCCAAGATTCTTCAACTATTTCAAACTAAAAAATTCGGGGGCAGTGAGCGGATTTCAAACTGAATTGATTGAAGCATCTCAATGATAGAAACTAAAAAATTCGGCGGCTCGATTATATTAGGCGATAATAGAAAACTTTTCCGCCTTCTTCATAAAGCAACTCGAGGAACGATCAGTAAAATGGTAAGAGACAGCAATGGCGTACTGATCAAAATTATAAAGGACCAACTCATAACATGGAAAGAATTCTTTGAGACCAAATTTAACCATGAAGCTCCATCTGTTGCCCCTGATATAGCTGATACGTTTGCCGAAGCATACGCTTGTAGTTGCAAGCCTCCAATAGAAAACGAAATAATTTCCGTTATCCATAAGCTCAGCCAATAAGATTGCAGGAGATGGGCTGAGCTTTTCTTTGTCCTTCAAACCCACCTTTAACAAAGATACTCTCCACTATGGAAAAAAGAAATATTACCAGATGATTGGAGCAAAGCAATTCTGCTCCCAATTCTCAAGATGATAGGATATACTGCGACAATTATCGAGGAATCAACCTACTTGTCTCAGCAAAAATTTTTGCTTCCCTGCTACTCAACAGACTTATGGAAGTATGGGACAACAGGTTGTGCCCACTTTAAGCTAGTTTCAGACCAAGGCGGTTGTGCTGACCAGATTCACGTTAAGAAGGGTGTTGGAACCCACTTCAGTTATTTGCAATTCACTGTCGCTTGTTTCATCGACTTTCCGGCTGCCTATGATTCAATTGATAAAGTGGCGCTCTAGAGAGTGATGGAACGTGACGGTGTTCCAAAATCATTCGACTCATAAAGGCATTTTATGAACTCACGTTGTCGCAGGTCTGTGTATATGGGGAACTGACAAACTCCTTCGAAATAAGAACTGGGAACTGGTATCCGTCAAGGCTGCGCCCTTTCCCCTACAATATTCAACTATGCGATAGACTGGGTAATGGACACTGTTTGTCGGCACTCAAGAGGTGTCCAAATTAGTCCAGAGCATCGTATCGCAGATCTTGAATACGCTGATAATGTAGTCCTTTTTGCTGACAATTATGGCGAAATGAATAATGCTGAATAACGTGTCAGCCACTGCAGTGAGAATTGACTCATTGTAAATAAAACGAAAGTATTTTCGTCTTACAAAACAAAAATATCTCCTTTTATAAAATCATTGTCGGTTGAGGGAGTGCTCAATTTTAAATATCTTGGGTTAACTCTAATATGAAATGGCCAGGCAAAAAGCAATTACAAGCCGGATAAGATAGCTAGAAATGCGTTCTTCCAGTTGACGAAACCTTTATGGAGTCGTAGTGAAATCACCACAAAAACGAAAGTCCGCATCTATATATCCGTGATCCGTTCGATCTTGTTATATGGTTCTGAAACATGTCCAATGAGAGTGGAGAATATTAAGAAATTATTTGCTTTTGACCACTCTTGTCTAAGGTTTATATTACGGATCAGTCCGTCGAGCGGATAAGATAACACATGATTGCATCCACCTTCGTCCAAGTACCCTAACCCAAGTACACTTGCATTAATAATGTTATCATAGAGCATCGTCTTAGCTGGTTAGGGACATTCTCCATCGTCCACCACAGGAGTTGATGCATATTTCGTTATTTGCTAAACCGTGTGATGGTTGGCGTCAAAAGCGAGGTGGGTCAATCAAGACCTGGACTAATACGGTGAGAAAAGATTTTGAACGTATAGATGAGCCAACAATATATGGACTTAGACGATAGAAAAAGGAATGGCTTCTATTACTGTCGACGATAGCATCAGACCGCACTACTTGGAAGTGTCTTACTCATGTAGGCCTTTGAGCCAGCCTAACCAGTAATGGTGACAGTTGTTAGAAGAAGAAGAAGAATGTATATAGAACTGTGGTTAACATAAAAACATTTGGTGAGAGTGGTATACGAATGTTCAAATGTATATGCACACAAAAAACTATAAAACTATAATAATTTGATTATAGTATAAACTGTAATTAGATTTGTTATAAGATAAAGAACTTCGCATGCAAATTAATTTTTTAGCTAAATAAAAAAAAGTCTGGAATTTCTTAAATTAAGATAACAAAAAAATCGTATAAAAGAATGACCATAAGGATGTGAGATTGGTAACCTGATTCATAATATTTATTTGAATTTATTTTATTTATTATTTTTTTGGTTCGCTATTGGTGACGGTGACTATAACTAATTTGAATAAGAACTGGAAATTAAAATATGTGTGAGAAAAGAATCATTTGAAAAGAATCAAACTATCTTTTGCAAGTGCGGCGTTGGAAATCACTCAAATACCTGATGCGCCAATGGAGTGCATCCGTCTCAAACAAAGAAATAGAAAAATTCCTCAAATAATTGCTGAATAATTGCTGTGAATCAATTTTCAAATTCCTACAATAATTTTTTCATACGTTTTTTCACTATCTTGATTCAGCAAAATTCCATTCTCTTTTTTTGCATACCCAAAAAACTAATTTAGCGTGTGAAATATCTTATCTCGTAACGAATCTTGTAATACATATTTGTTAAATATTCGTTGCATGGCATTCCTACTAAAATGTTTTTTTTCGCAAATCAAAATACTATAAATATTCACGTATAATAGGGTCACTTTGAAGTTGTTGAACTTGAAGAAGCTGAAGTCGAATCTATTTTCTTATTTTATTTTTTATTTTTTTTTAACTTTTAATTTTGATTTTTAATTCATTTTATGTTGAACATATATTATTTATAATTTGTGTTATAATAAAAAGAAAAAAATATCTTAGCCTGCTTGGGTACGACGATAAACATTATTTTGTTCTCGTACTAAACATCTTCAGCTAATTCTGCCTCAAACCTCTCCACTACATCATCTTTCCCCTATATTGAAGAGCTGTCGGGAAACCGAAAGGAAATTAATTCAATTTTATAAAATAACAAATAATAAAGCCACCAACGATTTCCTGTTTCTCACACTAAAGCTACCAACGATTTCCTGTTTCTCACACTAAAGCCACCAACGATTTCCTGTTTCCCATCACGCCTTTTTTTTATCACCCTATATAATGACGATCAGCAATACTTTTTGGATGGGGGGATTTGGGTCTTCTTTTTTTTTTCTTTTCGCCGTTCCGTTGTAAAAATGCTGAATGTTTCAATGCTGTTATATTTTATCTTCTATATTTACCTATTCAAGGTTGCTCCAAATACCTCTTAAATTCAACCGTAATTCAACTGTAACGAATTTCGCCTAATATCAAATTATTTCTAATAAACAAAAATTCGAATTATTCGTGTTTCTTAATCGCAAATTAAAGTTTCACAACAATAATCTTATTACAATTCGTGCTATGCAGATTTTATGCAGTTTTTTTTGTGCATTGTACTCAAAAATGAGCAGAACTGATTGAAGGCCGACAAAAGCTGGCTGTGGCCGCAATTTTGGATCGATTCTATTTCTTTTTGGGACACAGATTATTGTTCGCTTTAAATATTACAACTTTAGACTAAATTTGAATCCAACAAGAACTAATGGCTTAAAATTACTAAGACCTATATGCAAAACTAAACTAAGGACTCGTGACTTCTTTATTCGTACTATTAACTACTGGAACAAATTACCGAACGATGTAGCTTGTGCGTCATCCTTAGCTGTCTTTAAAAAAAGACTAGATAATATCATTTACGATATTATTTAAAAACAAAAAAAAAGAGGAAAGTTTACACCAGGCAAGAACTGCAGGAAGTGAGAAATCTCGATTTTATTTTCAGGTTATATATGTTACTTCGAATTGTACTATATTATATTGATCTGTAATTTCCTCTTTAAATTGTTAATTTTTGTCATATTGTTTTATAATTGATTTTGTTTATGTTATATTTTTTTGTGTCTTCTTTTTCTGTTATCTTAATTGTTATTATTAATACAAGCACATGGCGTTGTCGCCCTGCTTGGCTGGTTATCAATAAATAAATAAATAAATAAATAAAAAGTAAGTAGTGAGATGAGGAGAGCTTAACATTTTTATTGTTTTATTTATAATCTGTTTGGCTGTTTTCTTTCTTTGGGTCGTTTGGAAATATATTGTTGTATTGTACATCGTTATCCAATTTTATTGTTATGATTATATTATTATATAAATAAAGGTTTAATTACCCAAGTTTGAGGTATAACGAACGGTTGATTAATTACGATATCTTTTTTTACGGAAAGGGATGTAACCGGGAATTATCGAGACGATTAATAGCCCTTTTTACAATAAATGAAGAAGAAATGAATAAGAAATGAAAAAATAATGAGCATTAATAATCATTATAAAACATATAAATATAATAAAAAATAAAATTTGATTATTATCGAATTGTTTTTAATTTTACCTTTTATTATTTATAGTCGGCAAAAATTTGAAATTTCAGTTTAATTAAGACGTGACTTATTACGAAAAAGAATAGAATGGCGCTACAGGTGATTGCTGTCATATCTGGGTACAGTTGATGGAATTCTACTTCAACAAAACCTCATCTTTTAAGAGTGATGTTGGTGACTCACTTGTTCTTCTCCAATCCTTAACAAAATTCATTTGGTCTGAAAAGACAGCAGAGTGAGTTTAACCAGTAGCGCAAAAACACAGATAACTGACAAACATTAATATTAGAAAAGCTTCAAATACTTTAAAAGAAGTCTTAGACTGAATTTAGTCTAAGACTAAATTCGTTCTCGAATTTGATGGTAATTAGAGATAATTAAAATTTTCTACATATTAACTCAACTCTCATTGCCTTCTTTTAACTCATAAGTAATTTACTGCTGAAACGTTTAAAAATTAGAGGAGGTAGCATAACAGTTTAAATCAAACCGAAAATAAAAAGCGTTATTAGAAAGATAAACATTTTTATATCGAAATTTAAGAAATTATTTTAGAACGTTCGGCCTTATTATGAGGATTTGAGATTTGCAAACAAATATTTGAAAAAAAAATTTTTTAAAAATTTCTATCAAAAATTCCTTTCCAATTTCTATTACGTTCTAGTGTCAAAAAATAAGCAAAATCTCATGGCAAAACTAAAATTGCAAATTCAATACTGCCACTGAATTAAAAAACGATAAAAAAATGATCCACCCTCGCTGTTCTTTCAAGATTTTTGCTAATATTGCAATAACTATTCCATTTTTCTAAAAAAAAAAGGATTATCCAACTAAATTTCTTGAATTTTAAGAATTTCATAAATTTATTCAGCACATACAGAGATCAGACAAATTTGCGATGGTTCATATTTCATATAATATATAAAATAAAACAAGTGAATAATAAACAAAAGTACCAAATGTACTTTGCAATATTCATTAATAGGATCTTACGAACTGTTGAAAGAACGAGAAAAGATAAAAAAGCACTAATAACCAATTCATTCATTCGAATTTTTAAAACGACTTCATCATTATTAAACAAATGGTAAATAACAGAAAAATCCCCAAGGAATTAAAAAGTACCAAGCCCAACCACTTATGGCAAATTCGAAAAGTTATGTATAACCATTAGCAAAATCAAACCAAAAACTCAGCGACTTTATTTATTTGCTGAATTATTTCATTTAATGAAAAATTTTCACAAATTTTGTCAACCTGCAGCCACAATTTTTAAAAGTCATATATATATATATATATCTAAAAATTTCCACAATCAATTTATGGAATTAATAAATGTTAATACCTAAAGAATAAAAGACTGAAAAGACAAATGAAAGGATTTAGATAATTCCAAAAATTTCATATTACACCTAACAACAAATGAAAATTAAATGAAAGAATGGACAGAAAAAAAAAGAAGCAAATGGCAGTTAGTGTGGGAACCAATTTTAGATAACAGTGGCATTTTGGTTATTAATTCTACTATAAAATATGCAGTGCCTATAATCCATATACTAAATGAAAAAACCAAAAAAAAAACAAATATAGAGAAATTTACTGCTAACTGATTAAAATTAACATATAGACACTGAGCACATTCATCGGATAATTTTCTAATATATGAATGAACTAGTATACAAAGGAACAAAACCACCAATGATACAAACACAATACAAGGAAAATGAGATGGCCTTTGGCAAGCGCTTGAAACTTTTGGTATTAATACTGTTTTACAATGAACTAATGTGGTATGTGACGTATTATTTGAATGATGTAACGATGAAATTTTGAGAAAATATTCAATTTTAATATAAATTTTCAAACACAAAAAATACAGAAATTGCTATCAATTAAAACCTAGAAGCATCAAAAGTCAGTGAAGTGCCACTTAGATTTTTCGGTTTTTTAAAGTTAATTTTAAAAGTGAAATTGAAATTTTAAAAGTTTTTGTGGTTGCTGGAGACCCGCCTATAACTCTACCCTTAAAGCTAGAATTCCCGGGAGCGATTAACAAACTCGCTTCAAGCAAATATTGTTAACGCAGTTCTATTTGCCGTTACAATATCAATAATGAAATTGTGCGAAAATTTAACGAAGCAAAAAAAAATAACATAAAGAAATTAACCAAAAAAATAAAGTTACTAACGATTGAAAATCCAGTTTCAATTCCAAAAAAACACTATAACGATTTGATGACGAGGTAAATATTCAAAATGAGCGATTGACTAATTGATTGTTGTTTTAATGTCTTCACTGTGATTGAAATCTAACAATCTTCAGCAAACGACAACCACCTTGGTACTTTAGTGGCCCGGGGTGAGAAAAGATATTTAGAGCAATCAGGTTCACGTTGACGACGATGCCCTCCCACAGGCTATAAAAAATAAATCCAGGTGGGAAATTAAAAAAGTAAAAAAACAAGTAAGAAAATTTAATGAACAAATTTCGTTAAGAAATTAGAACTTCGCCAAATTTATCGAAGTTTTATACCTAAGAAAATTTTGATGAAAAAAATCAAAAAACAGAGGAAGTAAAAGTATGGCTTACTCTGGCAAGTTCCTCCGTAGAACAACTACTACTCCGTCGAATATTTCGAAATGGCTCGTTTAAAAATTTCCGCAGCGTTTCCTAAGAGATAAATAAACATTGACTAATAAATAAAGCTTAGAAAAGCTTTAAAAAAAGCTCGAATGTTTTGTGCTACGCGATTCTACACCATAAAATGCTTCATTCAATTCGTCCAGTTAAAAAATGTGCATACCTCATTTTCTGGATTTTGTTCAGCAGTTGAAAACCTCGCAACTGAAGAACTACGTAAAATAGATACTTTTGGACCATGAATAGGGTCTTTTTGCCATGCTGGAGGCTCTTTCTTGATGTTATTCGCCATATTTTCTAATTTCAAACGAGTACTAAAACAATGAAAAACAAAATAAAATGGTGCAGAAATCAAGTGATTATAATATATTTTAAAATTCTCGATGAATTTCATTAAATTTCATTTCATTAAATGATTTTTTTCGATATAGAAAAAGACAATGTGCCAGTAATTTCAAAAAAAATTTTTTTAAAGAATTTTCACCATTACTGGCTAAACCGGCCCAGAGGGAATGTCGCACTGGACAAAATGCCATGGAATCTCTTGGCGATAGAAACATAGGTAAGACGCCAGCATCACCTGGATTTTTGGATAGATTTACTTCTGTGGAGAAAAGAACTTTAGTATCGGCACTCCGAATTGAAGCAAGCCACTAAGCCATATTATCCCAATTTCCCAAAGAAATAATCAGTATTTAAGCAATGTTTTTTCAAATAATTATCCGGAATTCAAAAAAGAAAAAAAAATTACTTATATACAACATGACGATGGTCTTCAGTAGGATCATAATTCTCTTTCAAACGCAAAGTTAAATCATATACTTCATCTGAATCCAAAGCTTCTTTCTCATGGAGCGTAGTCAAATGAGAAACCCACGCCATAGTCAATTTCTTTTCGATCAAATCTTTGCGATGTTTTTCAATAAACAATCGCTGCAAAATCAATTTTTGGTAATATGACTTAAGCACGGTCTCCAAAAGTTCTTTCCATGGTTCTTTCTTTTAACAGAAAAGAAAGAAAGAGATGAAAATTATTTATAGAGTCAATATAAATGTAAAGTCTATCTACAAATTTTACTACCACAATGGCTAATCAATAGAATTGTATGTCAGGCTCAAAAATCACAGTTTATCGCTGTTTTTAAAAACAATTCATGGTTAAAACAAAAATTTAATAAGCGTAATGATTTTAAAATCTCCTAGTTCAAAGTGGTTACTGCTAATGAAATTGCATATAAACTTACACATGTTCGGTATACGTGGCATCTTCCAAACGGTTTGTGATTCAAATTAAGCAGAAATATATTCCATAAAATCATGAAATCCTTTTCCAGCCGAGACAAATCGACAAAATCTTCGATTTGCTAAAATATTAATATTAAAATAATGAAAATGAATGTATATGAATATAAAATAATGAAAATGAATGGAATTATAACAGGAAATGAACTAACTGGTAGCTCTCAGAAATATTTTAACTGATAAAAATAAACTAGTGCATTCAAATATATATATCATATATATCTATCATTAATACTACCCTATAATGAATCGGAAAACAAGAATCGCTAAAACACCACTGCTTCATGGAATTGTAGTTCTTTAATATTATTACCGTCAACAACCGATTTTAAATCATAGTGAAAACTCTCAACTCTCAAAAGAAAATAAGCTATAACGTACTCTGATAACATATTCACGAAGCCATTCTTGATCAGTTTGTTTCGTAGATATCTGTGAACAGTTCATAAGCGGATGACGGCTTCGAAATCCGAAAAAAGCACTAAAAAATAAGAATTTGTTGAAGAGTAAGTTTAAAAAACTGATAAAAAATAGAATTTATCATCACTAAAATTTTCATCACTAAAAAAATAATTGAAGTTTATATAACTTTTTGGCAAGTGGTATGAAATCCAAAAGTTTAGAAAGAATGGCCCACAATATTAAAAGAACTAACGCGTTATTTCCTTTCAGTGCCCGTTTTTCTCGATCAGACTGAGTGAAGAACATACTCAAATCTTTCTTCATTCCACGAATGGCTCTTGCCTCAGCCCTAAAGATTTAAAACAGTGGTAAAACTTCAGCACAACTGCAAAATGACAACTAACTGAACGATTAAAAATAAATGAAGATGATATGTTTGATATGTTTGTTTTTGCAGAAACAAAAAATTTGCGAAAATTTGAGGAATTGAAAATATTTGATATTGTTATATTCTACTTCTTGTTCAAAAATATTTTCTCCATACTGACCGTTATTAATAAATTTTTAAAAAAGGCATTAGGATAAAGAGTTTAAAATCTTGATTCCATCCGTGAAAGAGACAAACTTGTAGACTAAATAGGTAATACGATCATTGGGCATGCAGCGTTGCGGAGATGGAGATGTCCTAAAACGCATACTCATATATTGCCGAATCATTGGACCTTCAAATGAGCAATCGAAATTTTCACGTATAAAAACGTCGATATATACCGGCGCACTAGTATTCAAAACAGCTGTTTGACGAGCATCCCCCTGAAATAAAGAGCATTACTTGTCAAAGCGAAAATCCGAAAATGATATCTACCACATAATTCCACATATAACAGAATTAACAAGATAAAATAAAAAAGAGATAAATTACTTTTGAAAAATTTTTGAGATCTACGTGAATAACCTTGTAAGAACAATTTAAGCCCATTCTGTTTTCCATAATTCCGTAAGTAAGAAAATTTCCTTCTCTAGTTTTTTTTTCCTATAGAGAGAAATTGCTATTTAAAGTAAAAAACGAACAATGGCTGAAGCGAATCATCGCTATTTGCACCTCTATCTCTAAGATGAAGAAATTATATGAAGAAAACGAAGTATTTTGCATATCGCCGCGCATCCTCTATTTGTGAGGATACAGTTATGAGAATTCAGTAGAAATCTAAAGATTATGGCGAAGATTATCACTCTAGACTGAGAAAAAAAGGATATCATTTATGTTTACAAGATACGAGATGTATACAAGATTTTGACTGTAGCTATATGGATCTTTAGAACATTTATGGATGTCGAAAGGCAAGCAATAATTATCCACCCTTTATCTAAATATCAATCGCCAGAATAAAATGTTAACATCGTTTGCTGGGTGGAAGACCTCATTGGGTAGTGGTATTTCAAAACAACTCATGGAGAAACAAAATAAATATTCTTATTCTTTATCAATTTTGACTATTTGAATTAATTAACCTAATATTTTACTTTTGAATAAAATTTTCAATCAACATTTCAGCATTTTTTTCCTTAATCACTATGGAAGAATTACCTTGATAAAGATTCTATATAATTTTACTTGTAGAAATTATTTTTCTCAAAAAGTGAAAATATTCTGAGAACAAAATGCATGCGTTTCCAAATATAGCATCAAGATCTATCGAGATCTATCAGTATCTTAGCTGAGGAGTATTGTGCAATTAAAGGTTGCAACTCCTCTATAACGCTACTGAATTTTTTGTCAATAAATATTGGATCCAAGATTGGAAAAAAAGATTTAATTATATGGAATATTTCCCATAATCAGCACATAAATCATACTGGTTACATTCAAAAGATAATTCACGAATTTCCGTTCGGCAAAATGGCAAATGGGAGTGGTCAAAATGGCACTCAAAATGGCAAACGGCAAATTTCATGATTAAGACCATATTATAATACGAGCCAAAAAATCAGCATCCTTTAAAATTTTTGACCACTCCCTAAGGCAATTTTGCTTAATCACGAATGAAATTCATAGGACTGCACAAATCTACGGCCATATATCTACATATCTACATAACTACATATCTGCATTGATAATATCGTCAAATAATCTTGTATTGGCTGATCAGGTCATTTTTTCATGCTCCTCACATAAATTGATGTTCCCAAATATTATTACATATCTGCCTTGAGATAACATCAAAGCAAGAAAGGAAAATTAAGACTGTATTAATTATGGCCATCATGTGAAACTTAGGAAACCCTAATAAGTTTGGGAAGCAAGTATGACCAGTGATGGTGAGAATACTGCTAGAAGATCTAGAATGACTTATAAATTTCATAATATCAAAAAATTATTTTTTCAAGTATAAGACAGTTTTTAACTGATTATGCGAATTTGTAAAAAAAAGATGAGATATCGAATTACCCTATAAACAATATCAAGACGTGGATAACTAGTCCTCATATGCAAAAGAAGAGCAAACATATCCGGAAAAGTTCCCATACAAAAAAAGCATTTATTTGGCGGAGATAAAAAACGAGTGACCATAGCGTTACCATCTGGCTCTGGAAAACCGGCGTAATGCAATTCAGGCACTGTCACCTAAATCTAAATGTTCTGAAACACGTAAAAACAAATAAAAATTTTTTAGAGACAAATTAATCCATCTATTGCGATGAAATAAACAAACATAACCTTATCATCAGCAGCAATTGGCTTCGGAGGTTTAATTTTAGAGCACTTATCATATTTGGTGGCGAACTGATCAATGACTGTAGATAGAGGAAGATCTCGTCGTGGCACCACTAATCGAAAATTCGAAGGTGATTCAAACTGTCTAGCTGATGAAAACGATTTCAGTGGTATTGAATTTCTTTCTACTGATACTTTGATCGATTCATTGAATTGTTTCTGAGATGAAACGAAATTCCTACTTGTTAGATCCATTTGCTTAATCGGACAGGAAGGTTGGGAAGTATAACAATTATTTTGCCTATGACCATTGAAAATTTGAGCAGACGATACTTCTTTTAATGGAGAACAATGTCCTAAAAATATTGAGAACTTGTGAAAAAAGATATTTTTATTAAAGCATTAGATTACTATAAATTTCCATTTTAAAAAAATGCCACTAATGCCATTCTTTTCTTGTTATTTAATTAATTGTCTGGTTCCTCATTATAATTAAAAATACAAAAATTTCAAAGTTAGACGATAAAAAGTTTTTAAGGGAAAGTTGCAAATCTGGAGGGTTTTAACATATTCAATCGAACACACAATTTAAAAAAAATTTGATAACCGAAACTTACTTCGACCATTTTTGACAAATTTCATCTGCTGTTCACATAGTTCTTCATTTTGAGCTGATGAAATTGACATAACCGTACTACAAGAAGATAGCTCAACATCAGGTAGGTGATTCTCAGGAAAAACCGTATCTGGTTCCTCATTATATTTCATAATAAATCGATAACTGGAAAAAAGGAAAAGAACTGATAAAACTGATATTGATAAAAAATTATGACTAATCCTCCTTAAAGTACCTCTAATAAGCTCCTCATAATAATAAATCGAGAAGTGAAAAAAAAAACATGTTTTATTCTCGGAAATCACATAGCAGAAGATTATAGAATTATAGACAAAAAGAGATTTATTATAACTAAATAAATTACCAAATTTGTTTCGGAAATTCCAAGGACATTTCGAATTTGTGTTTTGATTTCATATATTGATCAGGACCCTACAATAAAGAATGAAAATAAAAATTTTGAATCAGACAAGGAATTAAATATATTTAATTTCATTATTACCAAATCCAAAATCCTTTTTTACATTGTAATAATCCTATGTACTAATGAAAACTAGACCACATAATTTTGACCTTTCAATCATTCAATCAAATAATTTAATTTATTCTCACAAAAGTATGAAAAGTACAAAAGTATGAAGTATGAAGTTGTATGAAGTTGCCTTATGTGGTCTAAAATGAATGAATACAAATTATTATAAATATTATCACCTCCATAGTAGTCAAATTACGTATATTTTTTTGTTTTTCATCAAAATAATTGGTATTAAACAAGAGTTTTGGATAGCACGCACTGGTAGAACGATAACCTTGTGGAGCTTGACTAGCTACAGAAGTAACAATGCCTGTCAAAAAAAATTTACCAATTTCAATGAATTAACTCAAATTTTAAAATAAAAATAAAAATTTAAATACTTTACATATATTTCAATTATTTGAATTCAATTATTTAAAAAAATATACTAGAACAACTCTTTGATTCATCATCATCTTCCGATGAACTAGTATCAGCGCCGGTATCCTGAGCAATGGACATTCGAACGAAAGGGCTCATATGAAGTTTCTAAAAATGATTTCAAAATGATTTCTCTAACAGATTCAAAATTCAAAATTTGATTATTTAAAACTCTACTTTATATAAAATTCATCAAAAATTTTGGTGCAGAAATGAATTGAACAAACCTTTCCCAGTTCAATAAGCCTTTTTGTTAATGTTGTGTCTCGTTTCCAATTGCCATTCAATTTTAGAAGTGAATCAGATCTAAAATAATTTATGCAAGAGAAAATATTATAGCTAACTAATCGATAATACCTATGCAAAAAGATAAACCAGAAAAAACCAGAAAAAATTAATTAAAGAACTTAAAATCAACTAGTAACATCTGACGCGACAAATATAAATAATACATACACTAAAATTACGCTGCCATTACCATAAATAACACCATCTTCTGCGCTATGTTTTGTAACAGAAGATATACATCGCGCACCAAACATTGTCACTGAATCTTCGCCATCATTATCTCGCGCGCATGAGATTTTAGAATTGTAGCGGGTTCTCTATAAAAAAAATTAGAATCAGAAAAAAATTATTTCCTTAATTCTAGATTCATTAATCTACTTATTACATAAATAAGTTTATGAAAGAACCAAATGAGTTACGATAAATGAAAAAATAAAGTTAAGCAGAAAAGTTAAAACCAGTTCAGTCCTACTTTTAAATCAGTTTTATCAGCTTTCCTTGACGGAACGCAACGAAGTGTTCTACCATCTGGAGTCCTTACGTCTTCACCCGAAAATGTGACGCGTATTATAACGTAATCATTTCTTCAAAAAACAATGAGAAGTGATAAGAATGGAATTAATTAATTCTAAATAAATATGATGTGCTAAAAACTTATATCGAAATAATATATCTGACACGACAATGACAAATAAATCACCATTATAATAACAATATTAACCTTTCTCGCATATAATGTTCAAGATGGCAGCCTATAGATCGAGGAAGGTCGATAGCAACCGGTACATTACGATTATTAATCTGCATTTGAACTGTTGCGGAAGGCAATCTCACCTAAAGGCAATCTCTTTAATCTTATCTTACATAAAGTCGTAATTTCGTAAGATATTTCGTATTTCGTATTTATTTAATAAGATATGAAAATGAGAGAAAAGAAATAAATTGATACAGAAATCTGACATTGATACGACTGACCACTGATCATATGTCACCAACTATTTTAAAACCATCTTAATAAAAAATTTACTGTAACGACAGGCAAGAAAATGGAAAGGATATAGACACAGAAAAACAAACTATATAGAAACAATCAAGGAGCAAAAAGAGTGATGACAAGAAAAAATAGGATAAAAGAGAACATCAATGAAAACAGAACAGAGAAAAATTTAAAAAAGAGAAAAGAAAAAAGCAGATGAAATAAAAAAATAATTGCTTACGATTTCTCCGAAGATTCCATCAATTTCTGTTGAAAGATAAACGGTGATCAATGCTTTTCTATTTCCTGCAGATATCATAAAAGAATTTAATAATTTTTTGAAAAAAATGCAAGTTTTCGAGCGGAATTATATAATTTATGTTATAATTAATGATAAAAAAATGAGTTTCTCGAATTAATTAAATTAAACATCACCTGGCATGTCTTTGTGACGGACATCAAAGAACTTAATCATTGGAGTGGAACGCGAAAACTCTACTTGCTTGTTAGCAATTTTATTCAAATCACTTTTGCCATTAAATGCCAACTCCTTTCGAGAAGTGGGTAATAATTTCAAATTGTTTTGAGGCGTATTCTTCGGTGATATAAGTGATAACCTCTTAAGTCCCTTTAAGAAAGGAAATGAAAATAATGAAAGAAATTCAAAATAAAAACATTCGTCTAAAAAAAAAGCATTGGAGTATTTTGTCGTTTAAAAAACAATTTATAAAAATAAATATGATAATTAAAAATAAATTTTTTTTGTATCATTACGCTACATTTAAATTTTCTTCTTTTTGTCTCCATATCATCGCAATAATATCGTGAATATGTTCCCTTTTTTGACCTTCCGATAATATTCGCTTTTCCCTTGTAAATACTGGGCAAATTGGAGGTAGAATATCATCAGTAATATATTTTGAATCAAACTAAAATTTGGCTATATTCATTCAAATCTGATTAAATACTAGTTTTTAATAATTTTGAAAAATATCAAACGATTTTTTCTCTTCTTGTGTAGAAAAAAAAGACAACAATAAAAAGTGAAAAACAACAATGGGAAGTTTTTTGCTAGACTAAATTCTACATAAAATTATCCTAAATATGTCTGGAATTCCTCTCTTCCCAAGAAAAGGAGAAATATTGAAAAAAGATATTAAAATGCATGATATCCTAAAAATTACCTTTGATTTCTTCATATAAATAAGATTCCTTTTAAGGAAAGGCCTATACATTGGTCGAGCATAACCACTTTGAATGTCTGGTAATGACATATATCGATAAAGCCGTAAAGCTTCTTTAAAAAATTATAAGTAAAAATAAATAAATAATAATAAATAATAAATAATATAGAAACAAATAAGCTAGAATCAGACAGAATGTATATGCATAATAAATTAGAAAAATATTAAAATATACCAAAAATGCCAAACTTTGTAATTTTAAATTAGCTGGTTAAAATACATTGAGAACAATTAACAAACTGGATAAATTTTAAAAAGAATGGAAATTAAAAAAAAACTAACTCCGCAATTGATATTCTAAACTATTTGTTTCCGCTTTGATAGGGCACCGTTCAAGTAAAACCGCATGAAGATTTTTTTTTTCGATCTGAATTAAAATAACAATATTTTTCTTCACAATGACACGCATAAAATTAAAATTATTCCATAGAATTATTTAATATGACCTCTATTTCTGTAGCTGAACTCGTATTGGGATCTAAAATACGACACTTCTTTGGATCGGAAGAATCTGAATCTGCCAATAAAGCATTTGCATCCAACTTTTCAACTAAAAATAGAGGGTTACTCGCTTTCATTTATCGTCATTGAAGTGAATGAATGTTTTTTTTTTAGAATGAAAATTTATCAATATCGAAATATCGCAAACATTGTGAACATCATTTTCGAATTTTTTTACTGTGCACCTGAAGAATACTAATCAATGTTCATTGAGCACGAAATAATAAAAAATAATGAAACAAACCAAATAATGAAAGTGCCACATTTTTACAATCAGATCCTGTCGAATTGCGTGAAAACTTTAAAATTCGTCGAGATCGAGGGACAGCAACTTCGGGACTATACCTTGACTTTTCCGTAGGCATCTGACATCCGGACTGATGCCTAAAATACTCCAAAAAATGTTTGGGAGAATTAAAATAAAATGAATCTGAATAAAAACAATAAGAGTTAATATTTTTATATATTTCAAAAAAATCACATTCCAGAACGTAATTCACCACATTTTTGATAAATTTTTTGATATAAAATATAAAGAATTTCCGATAAGAATATGGAATTCCAACAATCGATCTCGACCTTATTTTTCATTAAAGTATATTTTAAAAATTCAGTGTTATTGAGAAAATGACTGCTATCAAAAAAGTGTGTCAATTACTGTAAATCTCAGTGTTTGCAACTTCTGAATCACTAATTTACTTATTATTGTTAAAAAGAAAATAAATATAAAGAAAAAAACGATTAACCGTGTTTCATATCTACATGTTTTAATATGTTCCCCTGAACTTTGAGCTGCTGATCTCGATCTGTAAGTATAATTACCACGTGTAGCCACTGAAATTGAAAAATTATATGAGAAAAAATATCTGTAAGCAGTAAAATATGGAATATTTCTCATAAATATATATGAATTCTACTAGATATATTTAAAAATAAAAATCATTTTTGGTTTTATGAATAGTTATCATATCAGTGAAATTTTTTTTGAAAATCATTTTTTCTCTAAATTATAAATTTCTTATGAAATATCAATATAATTCATTCAAACATTTCTTTATTTAAAAATTCCATATTCTCATTAATTTCACTAAAAATTATTTTATTTTGAAATTTGAAAAAATTTTACATTAAATGAAGTAAACTTTGAAAGCTTTCTCGAAGAAAGTTTCCTCGTCAATTATCTATTAAATTATATGTTAACTGCTATCTGTTATCCAATACCTATGTTAAAGGATGTTACAATCGTATGAGAGATTTTATGTGGTACTTGCAAAATTTATAAGCCTTTTCGTTTCCTTTTTTTAATATAATATTCCAAATTTGCAAGCATGATTTAAATCATTGTAAAAAATTGACAAATATCGGTAAATTCGCATCGATACTATTGCTGCCTAATTTAATTATTTCACCTGTCATAAACGGGGAAAATCTCAAAAATCTTTGATTCTATCGCTACACTACATTTAATGCATATTGTATCACATATTGTTTTAAAAAAGTAGAAAACAAGTAGAAAATTACCATTTCTTGCTGGTCGAACTCTCATTTCCATTCTCGGACGCGTTAGCCGAGAAATAAAGCTCGACACAATGTGAATTCTTTTCTTTTCTAAAAGCTCAGTTCAAAAGATAAATATTTAATCTCTTATAAATTGTAGTAAAAATAATTTTCTCGAATAATCCTTCGCTTTCACAAAAATTATAGAAAATTTAATAAAGTGACAATCAAAAAAAAAAAAAAATTCAGGAGATAAACATATTAGAGAATTTGGAAAATAAAAAAAATTATTGAAAATGAGTAAATTTATATATTAAGAAAATTCGCTAATTTTCATAGTTTCAAATAAACGAAAATTAAATGAAATGAAATTTTCAGAATATTCAATTTTTTATTTAAAAATATTTCTACTAATATTAGCAAAAAAAATTAAATTAATTAAACATTAATCAACTAAAAAAAAAATAAATTGGAAAATGAAGAGAATAGAAATTAATAATAATTTAGTAAAAATTAATTAAAAGAAAAAAAAAGAGATAAAAATTTATTCGTAAAGTCGATTTTTGATTTTTGATGTTTCAACGAAAAGCGTTCTTAAATATTTATTTTCAATGATTAAACACTATTCATAAATTCATAAATTGACTAAATCGCCGAGCGTCAATTACTCATTATCAGCTTATCAGCTCAACTCTTGGCGAATCCGACAACTAAATGATAAAAAAGAAAATAAAAAAAAATGAAGATATGATAAAGAAAAATCTTTAAATTTATAAAGGTATTTCGTTGGGAAATTTCGGCCAATTTCGGCTATCGCTTGAAAATTGCTCGATATTCAGTTTGAATGTAAGCGAATGCCATCTGCGATTAGTGACGGTTGGTCAATTGCGAGCATGCTGCCTTGCAACATAGCAACAACATCTTATTATGGTGACTATATCCACGACTTATCTATAATATTATTTGTCGGCTTGATTTAATGCCATGTGCGCAATTGACAGATGGCACATTTCACCGTTGGTACCTTACTACCTTTTAGAAATGCCTTCAGTGCTTTCGGAAACTTTCCACCAAAAGCAAACGAGATTTTTGAATATGAAGCAAATACAACAGCGAGGGTGACTCTACGATGATGTTTGATGTCTTACCAGTCAACCAGTCAGTAAAGAAAGGAAAAAAACGAGGCATTTAGATGCCCTAAAAAAAAGCGGTCTTTTCAGGGCGACCTTTCGTGAAAGTAACTAAAGTACCACTAAAGTACCACTAAATATTTATTTATTTCGCAACACTATTTGAAATCTATAATACATTGTCATACATAATTTCTGACGATTATTTAATTATTATTATTCAACTATTTATTTATTTATTTTATTATTTATTATTTCCTAAATGTTTATATATTTATGGTTTTTGAATAAAATAGATTGAAATATCAGAAAGTGCTTTTAAATACTTGTATTTTTTTTATTAAATCTTTTTTTTCTTATAAATCATTACAAGTTTTAGTAAAATATTACTGTAGCGATCAACATAAAATGCAGCGATTATCCATGGTACCTCGCGAGGTGCAACTTAGCGCAGATTGTAATAGAAGATACAGTGGACGGTGCCAACTAAAATTTCCCTTCCTGACTTCACCCCGTCCACCTTCATTACGTTCCACCACAATGGCGCTTTAGCACTAGAAGTAGCTGCGTTTTAGCATAAACGGCGGCTGTGTTTTAGGATGGGTGCTACAGTAAGATCCAGTCCAAAATCTGATAAATTTATGATTGCTTCATTATAAATTTGGAAAGGAAGCGATGGTCCTTAGGGAAAATGGGCTGAGTAGGCTATTGTCGCTCCCATATCTGAGCACCGATGCAGGAGAGCGGAAAATCCCCGACAGCAGTGCACCTGGTTTTCGAAAACCGAGCTCACTTGTGCTTCTATCTCCTGGGCAATACCTTCCCGGTCCGCAGTGCCAGAAGAGCGAGCCGAATCAGAAACAGCGAAAGCTTTCAGAAACAACAAGTCCCGACATAAATTCGAGATACTGCCCATTGCCAATGGATCTCCAACGTTTTCTTCCTTGAACTTCCTTGACATCGAGAATGGCTGAAAAATGAGGTGGCTTCTGTTATTTTCTTCTGCTATACGAAATTGGACCGAATTCGACCTGGAAATGCTTTGCCAATAAAGCCAGGTTGATCACGAATGGTGCAAGCTGTTAGAGGGAAAATAAAGATGCTTCAATATTCCTCTTATTGGAACAAAAGCAAGTGCCACATAACATATTCAAATTTTTGGAAGCGCTAGATTAAACGCTCATTCAATCAACAGAACCGGCTTTTTCGATGATATCAGGTAAGGCTTAATGGTAAATCGTTATTTCCAGGTGTAAGGAACAGGAAAAAATCATCAGTGTACACTTTAACCTAAGCATTGTTTATGCCTTTCAATGGATCCAAATCGTTCAGAGCAAGAAGATTAGCTTAGTAGTTGTGATTTAATATGTCAATATTCTTTGCTTAATCTCTATAAGTGACCAAGCAAGTAAGTAAGTAAATCCTTGCAAGTGAGTGACCAAGCAAGTAAGTAAGTAAATCCCTGCAAGTGACTGACCAAGCAAGCAAGTAAGTAAATCCCTGCAAGTGACTGACCAAGCAAGTAAGTAAGTAAATCCCTGCAAGTGACTGACCAAGCAAGTAAATCCCTGCAAGTGACTGACCAAGCAAGTAAATCCCTGCAAGTGACTGACCAAGCAAGTAAGTAAATAAACCCTACAAGTGGCCAAGTAAATAAGAAAGTAAATAAGTCATTTCTATTTAAATTTATAATTTTATATAATTTATATATAATTTTGCTTTATTATTTATTCTTTTTTTTTGCTTTTAAATATTCAAATCCATTAATTTTTATTTTTTATACTTAAATATCGACAATTAAATTAAACGATTTAGGTATTTTTACGTCAAATCGAATTTTTATAGATTTTTCAAATTGTAGTTTGTATAGTTTTGCGAAAAATTTATCGCAGAAATTTCAGATTGTCTATGAATTTTGATTTAAGCAAAATATCCTTAATTTATCTAATCCATAATTGAAATTTCATTCATAATGAATAAACCAGCAATCAGCTTAGTCTATTGGAATATTACTTTAGCTGAGAATGAGCAACGTAAGATTCGATTTCATCTCTTATCTCTTATCACATGTAATTAGGAATTAAGAAATTCGAGTGGATCCACCTGGATTTCTATACTTGTGTAACTTCCTGGTGAAAACGCCTTATTCTAGTGGATATTGGAGCCTACCGAAGTAGAAATGTTGAGTACTGTTTTCATGCGAGTCTACCAGAAGATATTTCGCACTCAGTTTGATTATTCAGTAGAGAATAAATGAGATTTTTGAAAGATGAAAATAACTATTTTCGTTACAATGTTCAAATGAGTTTACGTACAACTATCCTGAGCTAAACTCGGCAAGTACCACCCATTCCTAAGCTCTACCTCTTTCTTTTTTCTTTTTCATAGTAGACAGTCTAGTCTTAAATGTGGGAGTAAATTTAATTTTTCATTAAAACAATTAAATGAAGACCTTTATTTAACCTTCAAATGTCAATCTTATATCTATTCAAATTTTACATGCATTCATATGACCTTAGACAAATGATTTTAAGCAAGAAGCGAGCAATGCCAGAATGACCTTAGGCAAAATGATTTTAAGCAAGCAACGTCGATGATAATGACCTTGGACGTATCAATCATCTAAATTACCACTGCTAAATAACCGTAGCATATACGGCATCTAATAGAAGAATCGAACAAGGCTTAAGCTCACATAAAGTATAAACATAAAAGCCACATAAAAGGACATATTATAAAGAAAAAATGTAAGTTTCCAATTTTATTCGAATCATTTATTATCCAAATTCGAATTACGCGGTCTATAAATAATTCGAATTACGCGAAATTTTATGGAATAAAAAAATTAATAAAATAAAAGAACATAATAAAATATAATATAAAAAAATGTGAATAAAATAGAGAGAAATAAGATATATTATAAAATAAGATTTTGTTAAGTTTTTGATAAAATTTTTGATAAAAATATTGTAAAATGAAGGCATTAAAGGATAATTGCAGAGATTATCTACTGACGAATATGCTATTTTTAGCCATTGAAATTCACAAAATGTAAGCACGATTAAGGAAAAAGGCGTTCGACTAGATTGACCTCTGACCCTTAAGGCTGTAGAATTCTTCTAATCATTCATTTCAGTTTGGTCATATTTCGAATGGTAGTATGTTCTTCTAATTCTTCTCTAATTAAATTTCTCCATATTTTATTTTTTGTAAATTTGAATTTTTAAAACCTTCTTGGATTGTCCAAGTTTTCATTTTGGAATAAATTTGTTAATAGTGGAAAAAAATTTTAATTATTTTTTAATGGTTATTTTAATGATTTTAAAAATTAAATTTAAGAAAGATTTAACAATTTAGCAAAATTCTTAAAATTAATTTTGCATATTCTTAAGGACTTAAAATTTTTTTTATTAAAATATTTTCGCATTTATATTTTTTATTTTTTTATAAAATATATTACCGAATCAAATATTTCATTGATATGATAACGATTTATAAAACTAGAAATTAACACATTTATTTTTAATTAATAACAGGTAGAAAAATTATTACTAATAGTTTTTAGTGAGTGATTGATGGGAATATAGCCATCCTTTCTTCTTTTTTTATCAGCTTATTGCTCATTTGGCGGCTTATTCCATTGGTGAATCTTGGTGAAATAATTTTCCCAGTCCAACCTAGCCAAATCACAATTGATCTGTGCTGTATCATTTGAAAAAATGAATCTCCTTGGATTGATTTATTTAAAAAAAAAGATTATCTCTTATTTCTTATAGTATTTTTAATTATGCAATTTGATTTTTTTATTTTTACGGAAAATAATTGAAAATTAAATTAATTAGTACATCGACGAGTATAATTTGTTTCATTTCTATAAAGTAACTATTACAAAAATGTTATCATATCGTTGTTTAAGCCATAATTATTTGTAATTAAAGAAGCCCTTCTTATCACTTATCTTAGTTAGTATCATTGCCAGGATGTAAAGGTGAAAAGTTACGTCAGTTATATATCAGTTTGGTATCGTTAGGGGAATATAAAATGTGTTGTTCGAAAGTACCATTGCAATCGGAAACTGATATTTATGAGGAATAATATTGCTTGGTGCGATCTTAGGCTGTTTTATTTTATTGCTCAATTGCTTCATTGCTCTTAATTATTATGCCGAATCGAATTGCAGTTTTAATGGTTCTTAATATTTTGCCCAGAAAATTTCAGCTATTTTAGATATTAGATTTATTAAATTAGCAATTTTCTGTTAAGGTTGACTGATTAATAAGGCTAGGCCCCCATATTTTTTTCCAAAAATTGGAGATAAAATAAACGATTTCCCAGTGCCAGCAGATTCTATTTTGAACAGCAGGCCAATAGCCAGGAATTGTGTTGCCTGTGGTGCCTCAGCTACAACATTCATTCGACCATTATCCTCTTAATTTTTTAATTTCTTGAGCAAGATTTAAGATTTGATTCACCGCCCTTTCGGATTTGAATATTTCGGTACTTTCGAATAACTAATTTGTAATTGAGAGCCACAAAATAGTTCATTTTAAAATTAAATCATTGATGATTAAACTGATTAGAATGGTAAAAAGTGGTGGAAAAAGAAGGAAGTGCTTTGCAGTGATAACTTGCAAAAAATTGGATGTTATTATATGGTAGATATATTATATTTATTTATATGACTACAAAATATAAAAATAATGTGTATTCTGAGAGAAAAAATTCGTCCATCAAAAATAAATAAGTCTTTTGGGGTGCAAAGGAATCGGTTAGCATATTGGTCGGAATAAAGCCAAGCATTATAGGCTTAGTTCGCAGTCCTTGATGGGGGCGAATCTGTCATTAAAAATTAATAAGATACTAGAAAGCATTCAATCCCTCAAAAGACTCTCCGACGGTAGTCTTGGTAGTCAGTGGAACAAGTCAAACGAGAAACTCGAGTTACTTTTTTTTCATGAAACAAGATTGACTTAGAGATTAATGGTATGACTTGACTATTTTATATAGGAAGTAACTGGATAGAACGTTTGGACAATTCTAATGCAGGGTAGCCGAGTGGTTAGTGGCTCATATTATCGTGTCGTATTAGGTCGTTTTATGCCTTCGAGAGGAGCAAAATTATCATTAAAAATTCTCGAAGGTGGCTGAGCTGTATTTCAATTTCCACATAATTCTCTGGCTCATCATATCAATAAGCGGAGGTAGTCTAATCATAAATGATGAACTTTAATCACTTATGGATAAATATCTTTAAAAATATTTTAATAGCAAAAGTTTTCATGTGAATTTGTCCCATTTTGATTGCGATCAATTTTCATTTAAGGATGAAATGCTTTGGTTAGAGTCGAGGCGAGGGAGTTAAACTGAAATATGAAAATCATAAATAACTGGAAAAAAGCTCATGAATTTGTTGCTGATTAGTGTGACAACTTAATTTAAGAAAGAAAAGTAGTCGAAAAATGTTACTGGTGGAAGCAGCCTGAGGGCATTGACTGACAGTAGCGTGATAATGAATAGCTGTGGTGCTTTTTGTCATAGCAAGTGATATGGATTGATTTATGTTGCTTGACTTTAATAGAATTGTTATTGAAAGTGATACCTCGGTGTTGCCGGGCATTCGCCCGTAGTGCTTTCCTTAGGATCTCAATTCTACAAGTCAGTCGTAGGAACCAAACCAGAAATGACAAAGAAGAATGAGGGTGGATTTTCATTAATATTTTATAAAGTAGACGAATTCTCTAACTATGCGAAATAATATATTTATTATGAACTGCATTGGGCCTTATAGGAATCAAGTAAGTATAGAATGGGCTGGTGATTTGATCAAATATATACGTATTTTAGTGTATGTGATTCATCGATAGGAGCTTTGAGTTGTCATAGGGGGCCGCTGGCATTTCTGATTTTGTGTTTGCATTGTGTCCTCGGTTTTTAGTATTGCTGTTGTATTGCTGTTGCCCGCCACCGACAATCACTATATACATGAGAGAAGCAAATACAATTTTCTCTTTTCTTTCTTCTTTTACTCATTCATTCCTTTGATTGTTATTATTATTATTTGCCCTCGGGCCGTTTCAATTATTGATTTTGTATTTTTATTAATATTTTTAAAAAATTATTCTTAGTTCAATATTTATTTATTTATTTCACAACTCATCTATAATGAAATAATAATGAAATTCAATTTTTATAACTATTTGTCGTTCATTTTAGCAATTTCTCATTTCATTTTTAATAATTACGTAGCACTTTTCTCCACAAATGATTTCGTCACTTGATAAGAGATAAGAGATAATGTGTTATCAAAAGTCCGATTTGCTATTTATCTGCAAATGTTCTTATCCGAAAGTATTTTTCTGGTAAAAGGGCCTTACCTTCCACACCACTCAGAGTTCTCTCAGATTCACTCAGTGGATAATCTAATCAGTAGAAACCATTCACATCAGAAATGGTATTTGCTATCAGAAGATATAATTTTTCCTAACAATTTTTTGTAATTATCTTTTTCCACCTATTATCTTCTTTATCAGTCTTAGTGAATCAAAATTGTTGTACTGTAATTCAATCTTTACTGAAGGCTTTTGATTTAACCATGATTGCTTATTTTGTGAAGACCCCCTATGATTACTTGAATTTGTTTTTCTTTCATGCAATTCTTTCTAACTCAATAAGCGTACGATGAAATGTACTACAATTCTGTTTTTTTATCTTTTTTGGATACTTTTTTTAGTGTTTCTTTTTTTCATTCGTTTATTGATAACTGATAACTGATAACAAATAGTTCTTCACATGATAATTTTACGCTTAGATATCATTTGCTTTCACAAAAATACTTTTTCTTTGTTTATTAGCCTATCAGTCACATGTCATATTGAATTATTTCGACGAATGCTTGTTATGTGAACTTGGCGGTGCATCTTTCTTCACCAACGTGATTCTCTAGCAGATTTGTCTCGTTGCTAGAAAATAGTGAAGCAGACAAAGAGTTTAGGTATTAGATGAGGAAATAAATGATTTTTGTTTCATTTTTCCATTCCTTTATCTTAAAGCACCATCGAACTGATGAGACACTTGCACCTCGCCAAAATGATTTTTAACGAAACGAATAGATAGATGGTTAGTTGGATGATTGGTATCGGCACTGTTATATTTTACAATAGTTAATGATTTAAATCTCAATTTTTTGAAGGTCACACTAAGATTTTTTTTTGAATAATATGTCCTTCTTCCTTATATAATTTGATGAAATATTTCCTTCTGAAATCCTGAAATTAAAACGCATTTTAAATTATATAAATTATTGCAACAAAAAAAAATATTAATATTTTGTAGGAAAAAGAAGTGATTATGGGTGTACCAAGTGATGGCAAATGTATGAAAAATTTGAATCAATTAAAACGAGATCGTATCAATTCAATAGGTTTTTCGTTATTAAGAACACAAGAACAGAATCACGATACGGATAATGCAAATGAATATTTAATCACGTCGAGTCCAAAAATTCGTAAAATTGACGATAATCATGAAAAATCAAAACAAATAATTGATAAGAAAATTTCGTTACGAACTGAACGTAAAAATCGTCAACATCCATTGCGTTTAACGCAAGAAGAGAATATAAGAAATCAACTGATAAAAATGTTATCATTCAATAATGAAAGTTTTAATCAAACTCTGTTGTTATCCAAAGCAAAAAATACATTTTCGCCTTCATTCCCATCGGTGAATTTTTATTTTTTAAATTTTTTTTCTTTGTAAAATTTTATTTCAGAGGTAAAAAATGAATGAAATTGAAAAATTATCAGAAAGATGAATAATTTTTATTAATGAATTTTCGAATTCAATTATTTACTTTAAATAAATTAATTTTTCATTAATATTTCCGATTAATTTTTTTTAGAATTTAAAATTTCAAAATTTCTAAAACTTTTAGGATTGAAATAAATTTAAATGTTATTACTTATTCTTATTATTTATGATTATATTTTGTATAATATTGCATAATGTTTGCAAAATATTGCAATAATTTAATTTTAGGATTTAATCGTCCGGAAAAAAGAAAATAATCATTCGATCGGCTTTGACAAAGTTGACAACACTGTTGATGATAATATTGATACGCATATTGGGAACGATTCATCCGACTGTAATGATTGTGTGTTGTTTATATAAGCCGTTATTTTTAAAAAGCTTACTTTTTTTTTTAACTATGCCTTTTACCATTTTTTAATGGCTTCTGCTTTGATTCTCACCATATGTGCAGTATAGGTTATATAAATGAAGCTTTTTTCCTAAGAGAAATTACAGTTGTCGTTTCTTTTCTTATAATAAATAATAATTTTTATTCAGGTGATAACGCGGGCACTTCTCACGATATCGATACATCTAATGATATGAAGCAATGCATTGAGTCACGTGTCTTCAGTATGGTTCCTGGACGATTATCACTTCTAAGCAGTTGTAAAAAGTACACAGTTACCGCAGGCGAGGTTAGTTTTCCCCTTAGCCATATGATGGTAACGATTGATTTTTTTTCACCAGTCCAAGGTCATCTTTATGATTGTATTTGGTTTTTGGAGACAAGTAAGACAAGTAATACGCGATCATCTCCATTCTATAAAAATATCGTCAAATTTGACCTTTAACGAATCGTTCGTTCGTGTCGTTTGTTTTGTTAATTTACTCATCTCATTTGTTTTCTTTCGCCTATATTCTCTCAATTAGCCAGCTAAATTGTTGAAAGTCCGTCCCTTAGGGCTTTTTGTAATGTATCGTTCATTCTTCTCTCTTAATCCTTTGTTTAGTTAAGGCGAAAAAGAAGATAAAGAGAATTTCTTCTCATTGAAGTTTTTATCGTATTCCAAGAGATGTTATTGCGGAAATTTGTAAATAAATATATTAATTCTAAAGAAAAATTATTAGATATTTAGAAGGAGTGCAGATTGCATGTTGTTGTTGCGATTGCATTGAAGGCTGAACGATTGCTTGGGAGAACTGATTTTGCCTCGGGCATATAAATAATTTATGAATAGAGAAAAATTGAATTGCTTGAGGGAACAACAATAATTCTTTTCTTTTCATTCTTCCTTTTTGTAAAAGAGAACAACGAATTTCCCATTTATTATTTTTCGATTAATTCGAAGCTGGAAGAGATATCAATTAATTTTAATTTTTATTAATTATGAGAAAATTGGAGGAAAAGCGAAGGAATAATTTGAAAGGAATGGGAAGAAAGAAGGATCACTGATTTCCTTTAGGGTTTTTTTTAGAGGAGGCAAATAAATTTATTGGGCATTTTCTTAACGAAAGGATACTATATACAATCATTCCTGCTTAGAATATAATATAAAATACCAGGTTTTTGTCTCTTTATCAGGGAATGATGTGCTTTTCTTGTAGTAAGCATTCATATCTCTTCGCTTAGCTTTAAGAAGTTTCCTCATGAATGCGAGGAGGTAAAGGATTTAGTTTGACAAAAGTTTGATTTCGATAACTCGAAAGACCCCAAAATCCTTTATAATATGCGTGGGCATTCACTTCGAACACAAAAAAACACGTACAATGTGAAATTATTTTAGCTAATTTGTAGCTAATATTTCTTCTTTGCCTCGGGCAGACAGAAGCGTCTTTTCATCGTTTGTAATATAAATTCAAAAGTTACTAATTACTGAGAAATTTTTGTTCATTAAAGAATTGCGAATTTCCATCGAAATTTTTCGTGATTTATGTCGATGCCTATAGGTATTTCGTTGTTATTTGCATTCGTATGTTGTGCTTTTAATGGTTTTAGCTAAGTGTTTGCTTTAAACGATCCGCAATTTATTCGGTTGACTTTGCTCAAAACAAACATTTTGGTCCAAATAACGATATCGTTTTACTTTCACTATTATTATTTAAAAGTACTAATTTTTTATATTAAATTAGATTCGATTCCACAAAAACAGAGAAATAAATCGTTTTCAACATTTAGATTCTACTAAATTATTAAACGTTGTATTTTCGGCTCGGTTAACCATTAGTGTGGAAAGAGTAGAGTTTTGAGGGATCTTTTCACCACAAAGTCACCTCTGGAGCGAGAAATAGGCTACAAATGAAGCACCGATAGTCAACTTTCACTATCTATAACGAATTAAACAGAACGAATGGTTGAAAATGAAAATTAGAAAATTCTCTATCCGATTTTCTATTAATTTTACGGATTTTTCGTGATTTTCTGTTCCAAAAGTAGCAAATTAATTTGTCGCTTGGTTAATCATAAATCGAAATATGAAAAATTTGATTATCGTTTGGTGAGGAAGAACGAACTATTAGCGATTTTAATACAAATAATTGTGATGGTTCGTTCAATTTGAGTTTTTCGTGAAGTGGTTTTGCTACAGTACGCGGCCTAAGTAAATACTTTACTTACTCTTTACTTTACTTACTTGCAAACCAACATTCGATCTTTCGCTTTATTATATTTTCCAATACTTCTTTTTTATAGAAATGAACTATCTTTTCACAAGTCTCTTCCACTCTTCATTTCTTTTCATCAGTTTTATGTATTTATTCAGCGCTATTCAGTTATTTTCCAATAAGATCGTTGTTTGATTATTTTTGTTCGATTTATCCTATTGCCTCGGGCAAACAAATTTGAGGGACGTTTTTTGTGATACTAGTCAATTCGATATCAATCAGAATAGAATAGATTTGCCCGCGTCAGTGGACAGAAATTTGAATTGGTAACGGCTTATATGACCTTAGCCGAAATAACCATTCATGTCAAAGTATTGGTTTTTGGTGCTGGGAATTTTATATGTATTGAGGAATAAGCCGGGTAAAATTTTAGAATCGCTGAAGAGTGATTTTGTTTTGTTTTCAGGTAAAACGTCGTCTTTCTTCGCCAGAACGGTTAAATGCATCGCTTCTTGGTGGTATTTTAAGGAGGTTAGCAATCTTATTGTTTTTTTATTCTATGTGGACTCATTCCTGGTTAGGTTTATTGGATAACTCCGCTGGTGTCAAATCATTATTGAACGGATTTTTGAAAAGAACAGGTTTACTTCCATCGGACTAAAGCCTCAGCATTGGTACTGAAATGGGGGCAATACTGAGCCATTCTCTTCCTTTATTTACTGTTATTATTAATTAAAATATTCTATTATTGTTTATTTTTATATGATTATCATTTCATCATTAATCAATATATTATAATATTAATTATTTATTATAATATTAATTATTATTAATATTAATTATTAATTTTTATTATTATTCTATATTTACCTATTTTCCAGCTCTTTTCACATTTCTTTTTTTTTCTGTTTTTCTGTTTTATGCTGTGGCCAATTTTGTAGTAAGCAAATGTCACAAATTTAGAGCTAAATCGAAAAATGGTGGACAAACATTACGTGATCAGTTACAAAATTATGGCCTTTCCTTACCGGTTGGTCGAAGGAAAGGCAGTAATATATCCCTTCTTACTGCTTTGGTGGAAGGTTAATTTTTCATTATATTTCCTTATATTTTATTCAATTGATCGAATTTCTTCGATTATAATTTCTGAAAAATTTAAATTTATTTTTTTGCAGGTGAAGCCGACGAATTAGCATCAGATTTTAATCGAGTGTGCCAAGAAAGTTTTCCTCACGCATTTCTGTCGACACTTTTAAATAGTTCGGAGCTTTATAAAAAAATCGAAACTATTGATCGTCGAAAAACTGATTTAACGGCATCCATGTATGTTACTCGATTTTATTCACCACAGTTAATCACCCCAATGAGAATTTTTGTTGTTTTTTTATGCAAATGAGGGGAGAAAGGAAAGGAATGAGAGAAGAATTTTGCGATGGAAGAAGGAAATGAGGTGTTTGTTAATGCAAAAAATTCATCAATATGATCGTTTTGTTTCATTAATTTTCTGAAAAATAAGAGAGAAATATTGATAAAATTATAATTAAAATTATATAAATATAACGTGATCATTTAAGAAGAATTTTGGAGGAATTCATGAATTTTATGCAAGGTGAACTTGATGCAATGAAAGTGAAAAAGCCGCACGCATTGGAAAATTTTCAATTAATTACTCATGGTTTCGGAGCTTCAGCGATTATGTCTGGTGAGTATGGTGTATAATTGTAAGTAATAAAACGTGTTTTTACCTGAATCGTTCAAAGTTATTACGACCGGAAAGCCGAGCGACTGCTTTCTGTTATTGCTTATCGCTTTAGGCATCTTTGTAATCCCGTCCTTCCACGGGTTATAGTGTTATTTTTATTGAATAGAGGATTTCAAAATTTATTCCTTGTTGTACCTTTTCGGTTTTGTGCTTTGAAGATTAGTACCACAAAGTTATCATCACTGAGCTGAAGTATAGAATCATTCGTCTGCATTTTTATTTTCTTTTTTTCCATTACTTTACAATTCTTTCAGGATTGACTGTTTTTTATCAATATTTGATGGAATCGGTTAATTTGATGGATCAATTTAAACGAAATGATGATTTAGGAGGCGAAAAACTCAGCAATTTACAACGATTGCCATATTCTGATTTTCATATTTAAAATTAGAATTATTGATAATTGGCGAACTGTTTTATCGTTCATTTTTTATATTTTTTTAAATGACAGCGATGGTATTTTCTCTCCGATTTTCCTTCTTTAGAGAAGATTTTTAGATTTTCATCCAGAAAATTTCTGTTTTGTTTAGATGGCAAAAAAGCCGAATATGGTGTGAATTTATTGATAGGATTTATGGAAAAAGAGGTTTTTGTGGGATCTTTATGAAGCCTATCATTAATTTATGTATATTTTATCAATTCATGTTAGAAAATTTTTTTATCAGTTTACATCCATTAATCCAAACAATATATATATATATATATATGATTCACATTAACTTTTAAAGCCTTATTCAGTACAACTGTTTTCAATTTTTTCTTTAAGATTTTTGCAGTAAAATTCATTTTTAGTGATAAAAGTCATTTCATAAATTTCATTTGAAATGAATTTTCATTTCTTTTTGAAAAATTGGAAATTTGCATTTCTTAAAGATTTTTTTCCCTTATTTCTGGTTTTGTTTTTTTTTCGCTTTTAAATCGCGTTGTGCATTTATTTATTTCACTTTGTTTTTTACTTCATTGTCATTATTATCACTTGAAAATGAGAAAATTTGCCTGCAAAAATTAGTCCTAAACGGGTATTTTTTTGCCTCCTTTTTTGATCATTGTCGTTGCCTTTTTTTAAAGTTTTTTTCATGAGCGTTCTTTTATCAAAAGTGTGATCAAAATAATTAATATCAGCCTAAGCTTTAATCGTTTCCGGTATTGCAGTATTGCTTCAGCCATTTTAGATTTTCGTTCTCTTTTCATTTTCAAGTCTTTTTTTTATTGACAGTAACCAACCATTTTGGTATTTCTTAATGAAACATCAAAATAATTTGGTTATTTGTGCAATGATTTATCGTTTTTTAAATGGGTTTTACAGGAATCCGAAATTTTTCTCCTTAACTTTTGACAATAATGATTCGATTTGATTTTGTAATTTTACTTGTTTAGTGATTTGTTTTTTTTTTGCAAAATGGAAATTTTTTTTCGAAATGCATTAATTTGGATGGAATGTTTCAAATTTTTTTATTTATTTTATGCTTTTTGCATACATAAAAGTAGAAATTTTGAAGACCATTGCACCATTATAAATCTAAAAATTCTCATGCAAAATAGGAGCGACTGGAAGACGATGGTCCACGTGGCGGCCAGTAGTCAGTCGGAAATGGGCGCAACGTATAATTTTTATGACAATGTGCTTGTGCTTCAGTGGTGATTTATGGAAATTTGCACAAATAGCGTATTTAAAAATTTAATTAGAAATCTTTCAGGTTGGAGTTCGATTAGTTTAAGGTTGATTTAAGGCTGAAATTCCATTAATAGCGATTATTGCTAAATTTGTTTTCAATTGAAATTTCACATTTTTGGTGTTGAAATATTGCAGAAATCTAAACATAATTTTGATAAAAATATAATTTTAATAAAAAATCTAGGAATTGAAAAACTCGAAAATTTTGTCGCTTAAAAAATTTTTCCAGTTTTATGATCGAAATATTTTTCATATTGTATTAATCAAATGAAACTGAGGAAAATGGTTGGATTCATATTTTTGTTTGATCTAATTTGCTTATAAATTATTCATTTCACATTTTATCATCTATCATTATCATTTGATTTCATCTGATTTGTTTTGGAAAAAGAATAATTATTTTTGGTTCAATCTTATTTAATATGCTTAAATTTTTTTAGGAGTCCTCACCATTGCTGGTTAAACTCGCTTCGCTAACGTGTCGCATTGGAAAAATTTGCTGGGGAAATCCCTTGGCGATAGAAGTACAAGTGAATCGTCAGCATCACCTGGATTTTTAGGTAGATTCATATTCTCATGCAGGGAATAAAACTTCAACATCGACGCTCCCAACAACCCATTGGGCCATTCTATTCCCAATATGCTTGAGTATTAAATATTGTTAAATTTCTTCTTTATAAATTATTTTTTATAGACAAAATTTATACGTTGTATTTCATGGATTTAAACTTTTGCGAACCACTGAAAATGGTGATTGACATGCCGAACACTAACGTGGACTTATGAAGTGGGAAGGACAATTTTAACTCATCAAAAGTAGCGGAGCGTAACATTTCATGAATTTTAAAAAAAATTTTTGTAATGAAGGATTCTTTTATTATATATAACAATACATTATATATAACAACTGTTGCTCTTAAGAGGTGACTTCGTTGGTTACAAGAAGGAGGTGTTTCCAAGCCTCCGATTTCTTGTCTTATTAGAAAATAAGACTCTTTTTTCACCTTCTGGAATGTCTTATGGATATTGCGCTGTTCTCTCTTGTTTACTCCATATCCTGATTTGACTTCTTCGCAATCCATCATAGAATTAGCAAATTAACGAGGGCGTCAAAAAACGCAGCCTAACCAGCGTAGGCCATACTTCGTTACGCTTTTTAAGTGGTGCAACTGGAAAAGTTGAATGTAATCATGTGAGATTCTATCCGTTCAGCATGCATGCAAAATTTCCTGAAGCGCACTCACTTGCAGTGTTTCGTAGCCATTTAGCAAGACTGCAGCTAAGCAGATACAGACATTCGTTTTGATGGTAATTTCCCTAGGTTCCATACGCATTTCCCAAGACAAAAGGAAATACTTCTAATTGTCTCTATCTTGGCTGCAATTTCGTTTTTCGCTTGGCCATTTGGATATTCAAAATGATTAACCAGTGATTAATAAATGAAAATATCAGTATCGTCTGGTAAGCTACTAGAAAAAAATTCTCATTTAGACTCATTTGAAAACCGATGTTCGCTGTTCGCGATATACGGTGGATTGATTATAGTTGACAAGCGTCAGCAAAAAGATTTACATCATCAGCATATATAATATTTGGTACTACACTGATATTCATAAAACTTTTGAGTGGCGAGAAGTGGTGCACATAGCCAATTGGATTTTGTATGGGAACGAATGCAGAGGGTTATGAAACCCTTTTGCAAGGTACCGTATTGAGGAAGAAGAAACGCAGATTGCTTAGTAGCACCGCTCATACAGGAGGTGAACCACAGTACTTCTACTAATAGTCTAAGCAGAATAGATCAGTTAATTTTTACTCTTCGATCTTCGGTGACTCATTTTTATCAATTTTTAGAAATCATTTATTATAAATAAATAACAAAAAAAAAAATTCCAGAGGAAAAAAAGACACCCAAAAAACAAATAAATAAAATAAATTTGAAATTGGAAAGATTAAAATTTTTCAAAGTTTAAGATTAAAATTGCGTATATATATTGAAAAAACAAATGCAAAAATTTTTATTTCTTTCCACAAATGTAAAAAAAATTCACTTTTTTTTCAAAAAATTAAACATTTTAGCATTCTGGAAAGCGAATGAAATTCACGTGAAATAAATATATTTTTGAAAAATATTATTTTTTATTTTTACAGATTTTTGTCAAGAAAATTTTTATTTTCTAACGTTGAAACATTTGAAATTCGTCAGTTTTTCGTTTTCGTTTAATTTTTTCCTTTCGAATATTTTTATTAATTTTGTTTTAGGAAAATTTATTTATTATTTTTACATTTATATTTTCCATACTTTTTTCTATTTGCACTGTATATTTATTAATTTTTTTTTATTATCACAAAAACAAATTTGAAACAAATCCTTGCCGATAATTATTGGTAATTTGATAATTATTGATAATTATTGAAAGGCAAAAAGAAATATTCAGAAAAATAATATATATAATATTTAGAAAATAAATATAATAAAAATAATAAATATACGATTCGATGCGACGATTTTTTATTATTTTATTGTTCTCTTTGTAGTTTGGCACATTTTAATAAAATATGAGAATAAATTTCTGGATTAATTGAAATACACAAATTGCATAAAATATTTTTTGGCTTATTATGTATCTTAACAATTTGTGGATCTTAGTGCATCTAATTAATATGCACCACTTGCTTCTATTAACTATTAGGATGAGGCTTTTTTCGCCAAGAAGCCATTAATTGGCAATAGAAATGCAAGAAGGCGCAATGGATTTCGTTTTTGGTCGCTGGTTTATTCTTATTAGGAGGCTGCATTCTAATTCATCGTGCTTTCTTATCCGAAGATTAATTCTGAATAGTGTTTATTAATCTTATCACTTAAGGTATTAAATTTTCTCTGATTTTAAATAACTGAGATCGATAACTTTGTATGAAACAATAAACGATTTGGCATTTTCTCATATTTGACGAATACATTGCTTGGATGCCAATTTAGGTTAGAAGGATGTTGGTCGTTTAATAGATTCATTTATTATTAAAATAGGTGAATCTTCTGAATTATTATGAAACATTAATTATATTAAAAATTAGTTATAAAAATTATCTAAATTATGGAAAATTTCTTGAGGATAATAATGGCTTAAATTAAAAATTTGAATTCGAAATTGCTAAATATTTCATGAGATTTATAAATCTGTAAAAATAAATCTGAAATTTAGAAATTAAAAATCTTATTGAAAAGGGTTTATAAATTAGAAAAAGGATTCATAGGTTGTACCAGGTTACCCAAGCGGTTTATGAGACGATGTTAAAAAAGGGCGATTGTTTCAAAACATAGTTAATATCTATCAGTGAGAGAGCGATTGACTTGTCCAGTAGTTAAAGCAGACTGCACGGCTCAGTTGTTCGCTGTTTTAAGTGAATGCTGTTTTCGCTGTTTTAATTCTTGCTTTTTCAGACTCAAAATTTTTTTTCATGGTAATTTAGAAATATAATTAATGATGGAATGGGAATAGATCGGTTAGTTAATAGTACTAAAAAATGTAAATGTGCTCATTAGCAGATATTTTCTGTTACTGCAGTTCATAACACGAGTAAATCTCTTCTTTCTTCTTCTAACTCGCTAATATCTGTTTGATTAGTTCCACAGAATACTAGAATAATACCCCACCAGAGAGTCATTTGAGAAGTGCCGATGAGTTATTAAAAGTGAATTCCGAATTTTTTCTAGCGACAAAAATGACTATTCACTTCCGCAGGAATATTGGTCGGTCTACTTTATTATTAATTTTGACAAAATGACTGAATCCATGAAATATCCCAACTATAATTTGTTTTTCCTTCAATATTTTTTTTTATAAACTCGCAATGCAGTAATTTTAAATTATAAATTATTTTTAATAAATTAATAAATTATAAATTAATTTTTAAGTTAATAAATTATTTTTTGAAATTTTATAATTGTATTTCACATATTATTTTTCATCTCATAAGTTGAATTAAATATTTATTTTGCCGTTAAAACTGAGATTATTTTATCATGCGCCCATCATGTGATGATATTTTGATTTCACTCGTTATGAAATATATTTAGTGAATATACTTTTTATATATAAAATACATATATTTACATTGCACACATATTATCCTGTGCGGGACCTTCAATCTCGCAGGTCTCTGGTAGAGGACTCGAGCTTGAGGGTCACTCTTAGCAGCCATAGAGGTGAAGAAAGGAATTTATCATTAAGTATTTAGATATTCACCTTGCCTTTGCTTCAAATAAGATTTTTTTGGCCATTTAATTTCAGCAGTTTATGATCAGAAATTATAAATCAACTGATCTTTTTCATATTTTTTGCTTTCTTAATTTAAAAAAATTTTTGATATAAAATTGAAATATTTCAAAATTATTGTTGTTAGTAATGAACTGTGATGAGAAGACTGTTGAAAACTTTTTTTGCTTCAATAAAATCTATAAAATTTTGAATTTTTAGTGGTTATTTTATTGCTGCACGAAGCTATTATTTTAATTGAATTGTAATTTTTTGAATTATTTTAAAATATTTTATTATTAAATATTTTATTATTTTAAAATATTTTATTATTATTATTAAAATTTATTATATATGTCATAGAAAGGATAAAAGTAGAATAGCCTGCCGAACGGATAACGGTTGAGATTATCGTTAAAGCTTCATTGATTCATATCTTCGGCATGAGTTAATCCGTGAATTGAGCTGCTGCTGATCCATCTGCATTTCTACCAGATTGACCTGGCTTCCTAGCAACAATCCTTCCCTCAACAAACAACAAATTATTGCATTGTTATATAAATAAATAAATGTTATCATCGATCGGCTGTTTGGTTGCATTTGCATTTATTTCTTATTTTCCTTTGCAAATTGTTCTTCTCAATGCACTATGAATCGATTTATATTTGCCTTAAATTTCTATTCCTTTTTCAGCCAAAAATTTAAATTTTTTTATCAGTGATAAGTGCCAAATTCTAAAAATTTAAAAATATAGTTCAACGACACTTTCATAATTTATAAAGACGACAATGGAGGAAAGCAGCGCTGTTTGGATGACCAATTCATTCACACTGAATACTTATGACTTGGGATTTGAATGACATTTGACCTTCTAAATGCTTATTTGCTTATTTGACACTTTTCTAGAAGAGAAATGCCATTTTGAAATTGATCATTGATCATTTAAATTAAATTAATCAAAGCCGTGACTCGTATAATCTCATGACTCGTATGTGTTTTCCTCGAAAATTCACTATTTTTACTAATCTTCCTGCAGTTTTCCTTCCTTTACTTTTCTTTTATTTTAATATTCCTTTTTTTTATATTCATAGGCCAAGAAGCGCTTATTCTTTCCTTTTGTGCTGTAGTAATGTTCATCGAGGTTGGTTATCCTCTCCATGTATGCATTTGTGGATGGCTGTTCTTTCGACAATGCATAGCGTCATGGATGATCGGACTGGCGAACTGGCGTAATCCTCGCCAAAAATCTGGTCTTAGGATTCTTTTCATTATATTGCTAAATATGAATGATAAATCTCAAAGAAAATCCAGTAATTTAGGAAATTAAGGAATTTAAAGTTTGTCTGCTTTTTTTTGTTTTCGTACAAATTAATTTTTGGAAAAAAAGACGGCGAAAAATTTAAGTGATCAAAGAGTGAAATTTCTTAATTATGAAAAAATGTTATCATTTATCAGGAATTAACGAATAAGATTGTGGAATGATGAACAGCGAAAAACATCGAATCAGTGTTAAACTTGTTAGTTTATCTTTTCATTTTTACTCACTGCTTTTTTATCTTTTTCTTCACAATTTATATTTTAAAGCTAAATAATTTGAAAATTTTCTTCATTTTTTTTTCCTCTTGTCTTAATAATTTAATGAATTTCATTGTGATTCATGTATTTATGTGACTTATTTTACAATAAAATTATTTTAATGACTGATAATGAATGATAAAAGTTGATAAAACTGATAAAAGTCATATGTATTATTCACCACCTTTTTTTAAATTTTAAGTGATTTATTTAAAATTATTTTCTTAAGTTCTTTGCATTTCGAATAGTTTAGTTTCGCATATCTTTCGATCCAACGATCCATTGGTCCTTCGCTCCTTTGGACCTTTCCTTCGTTCATCGCCAGCATCATCATCGTAATCATCATCGTTGGCTGTTTTAATTATCGTTGAACTGCATTATTTCTTTTAAAAGAAATTAAAATTTTTAAAGATGTCTTATACATTAGCGTTGCTCGATGCTGAAAACACCTATAATAAAGGCAAATAAACAAATTAAAGGTTTTGTTCATTTTCCGATGTAAATCGAAATTTTTCTTCAATTTAAACTGCAATCTAAAATATTTGTTTTCAAATAATTTCATTTATATTGGTACTTCGTTTTTAAAGAGAGTTTTTTAGTTTATTTCGTTAAAAGATTATTAACAATGTTAGCGAATAAAAAATTCATCCTTTTTTTTCAGATTCTTACGTATTTGTAATTTGCGTAAAATCTGCGAATATGTAATTATATAATGTATAATTTATATAAATTATATATGTATAATAATTTATTATAATATTTATTATTTATATTTTTGCCCTTTATTACGTTTCTTTTTTTTAAAGAGCATTTACCATTATTTATTAGACTTACTTCACTGGCTTATCGAACTAGGCAAATATGCCAGGGAGTCCTTCAGCGATAGAAGTGGGTTGCCAGTATTACATCCGGACAGGTTTATTCTTGTCGGGAACAGAATTTCAGCATCGACGCTCCGAGTTAAGCAACAACCTACTAAGACCTTCTATTCTCTTTTCCTTTTTCTGTTAGACCACACTGCAGTCCAACAAAGTATGGTGCGTTGGTCGTTTTCGAAATCAAGCCTCTTGGTGTTAATTCTCTTGCCACTAAGCCACCGGTGCACCATTGTTATTTATATGCCTATGGCTATTCGAATTTTATTTTTTTGATACCAAATAAATTTTTCATGGTTTTTTATATTTGAATTTTTAAGATGTTTTTTAAATGAAATATACTGTACCAACTAATTTTCTTCTTTGTCCTTATCTTCATTCATCATTTATTTATTGAAATGTAAAAAGTGATTGCGGATTCAGAGTTTTAGGTAACCAGTTTCACCATCCTTCTTCTCTATGTATTCCATCTTGATTCGTTATAATTTTACAGTTTTTAATCTTTTGCTACCATAATTTCATAACTTCTTTATATTTTCCAAAATATCTAATTTGGTTTCAAATATTAAATGTGAATTCATGTTTATAGCAGATTTTTAAATGTTTTTCTCTCAGTTTTCTAATTCCTTCCATTCTTTTTTGGGAGTACCACAAGAGTTTGCTAATTTTTATATATAATCTTTTGTGTTTTCAGAGGATGGTACCAAAAGATACTCCATTCGATGAAAATACAGGTTTTTTCATTTTTTCTTTTTCTTGTTTAATTTTCTCTTATGATTTTATACTACTTCATCATCAAAAATATAAAAAATTCTTCTAAAATAATAATTTTTTTATAAAATAATTCAAAAAAAATAAAATAATTTTTAGTATTTCTTCCTCGTCAAATGAGCGAATCATTGAAAACAGTTGAATCGCCTAATTTCGATAATTTGGACAGTGAACAACGTAAATTTTCGCTCACAAATTTATTTGTCAGAAACACTTCTGTTGAGGAAGCACTAAGAAGAGATTCGAAAATTTTAATTAATGGAGGTTCGTTGTTGTTATATTTTTCAAATTTTTATAAGTCTTTTATAAGTCTTTTTTTTATTTTGAAATAAAGATTTTGAAAAGAAAAAACAAAATTTTCTAGATGGATTTGAGAAATCGGATTATATGAAAGTTGCATAAGCCTTGTCACTCGCCCCTTAAAAATATGCAACTTTTGAATGGTTTGTTATTTTATGGATTTTTATAATTTAAAGAAAAATTCTCATTAGACATGTTATCAAAAATTATCAACTATCGAAAATTATTAATTATCGAAAATTATCAGATTATCATTTGCATCATTCTTCAATCTTTGTGCTCTTTTTTAGATGCGAAAAATTTCGGATTTCATGGAATTTTTATGGTCGTCTGAAATTCTTTATATCCATTACTGTACAAATTTTTTCAAACTTTTATTTTTATTAGCCAGTACCAGTGCCTTTTGCTTTTAGTTTAGATATCGTGATTTTCTCTTACTGATAATAAAATTATATTTACCAGTATGTAACGCTTAATGAATTAAAATTATTCTGATGCTTTGATATAAATATAAGTATTTTGTACCTTATTTTTTGTTTTAACTAATTTAATTTTACTTTAATCTAATTTTTTATTTTATAAATTTAATTTTAATTTTTAACCTATTAATTTTTTTTCGCAAGTCATTGTGTAAATTACTGAAAAAAATTACATCTTTTTCAATTTGCAACAAAAGAATATTTTATTTTTTTTGTCGTTATTTTAAACAGTTTGCTTAATTGAAAGTAGAAAATACTTGAAATAACTTAGCGAAAGCAATATTTAAAGTGCAAAAAAAAAATTTAGGGCAGCCACTGATAAGTTGTTGTGTTAAATTGATAAGTCGTGTCGGACTGATTATGATCTGCCACAAGCTTTGTGCAAGTTTATTTTGTATACAATATAATTTATATAACTTATTTAATCTTGTTGATTTCATTCACTTTAAAATAAAATCGTTTATTTCTATGCATTATGTATTATGCGCAGTGCAGTTTATTTTTTTAAATACCAATTATTATAATAAATAAATAGTTTAAATAATTTAAAATCCAAAATTTATGATAGTTTATCGTTTATCACAATTTGTTATTCATTGTCGCGTTGCTATAAATTTGCTGCATAATTTGCTAGATTTGCTTGTTTTAAATCGATGGTTGTCAGTTGAGAAATGGTGTCACACGTAATTCTATGCCGCACGACAAATATTTATTGGACAAACAATGAAAATATAAAGTTTTAATAATAATAAATTTTTGTTATTTATGTATTCGATTTTTGATGACTGTTTGAGAATCGTTTTAAGGCCAATCAAATCTTCATTGTGGTTGTTAACAAATTAAAATTTCAACCATTTGATAGTTTATTCGCTTATCTTTAAAAATTTATTTTAATAGGATTTCTCAAAATTTATTCGTTTAATAGCCATAAAAATTCGTTTTCTTTTATGTTAAACGATACGACAGCCAAAAGGTGTTTTAGCTAATGCGGTGCCGGCTTTGACAACAAAACATAGCCAATTTTCGTTTCTTCCTAACAGTGCTTCGCTGTGCAAACTCGTTGATCTTGGTAAATTTCGCCAGAGAATTACTTGGCGATAGAAATATAAATGAGCCGCCAGCACCGAACGAATATTCAAAATTCGAATGTTAGGTTTTATTCCTGCTAGCAGTGATCTGCCGCAGCACCAACATTGGTGCACCCCGAAATGGGAATCGAGCCATTCTACCCATAGTCGTAATTGAAATGACATTGTTCATAAAATATTCCCAAGAAATAAAAGATAAAATTTCTACTTTCATTCACAAAATTTTGGCATTTGTTAGCAAAGGTTAAGTTAGCAAAATTTTTTTAATGAAGTAAAAAAATTTTTTATAATTCATTTCTCTCACCATTCAGTTCAGTTGAATTTATGTATTAACTTATCATTCAATTAATATTTGATGACTAGGAGGGTTAATCAAAAGCTGATTATAGTGAGGAGAGATTTCGAACGAACAAGTAGTGGCCATGCAGTAAAGCTGTCGCTTGGATGCTAGAAAAAGGAGTGGATTTTAAGTATGGAATAATCGAGCGAAGCCTGGAAAAACTTCACAATTATAGAGTACCGTCAGCTAAGTCAGTCCGATCAGTAATTTAGAAGATGAAGAAAAATTATAAATAAATGTTTGGCAATTAAAAGTAAATGTTTGGCATAAATAATACAAAATTTTCAAAATTATTAAATTCCAAAAAAAATATTTAAATAGAAAATTAACAATAATTCAATATCGCGTCAATTACTTCTTTTATTCTTTTATAAAATTTATAAAATTATTTCTAAAATTATTATTTATAAAATATTATTTCTTTTTTAAATATAGTGCAATATTTCTGGTTTGGCTGACTGTGCAAATTACAGTCATGTAAAATTTCCAAAGCGCTGAAAAAACTCCCTCGTGAACCATACCGATCCAAGCCCAGCCAAGTGGATTATATGAAGAGTTGCTTTTTTTTTAAATTTATACAAGCAAAACAATATCAACTGACAATTTTTTTCATTAATACATTCGTTGTCATCAAATAATGGAAACAATTCATATGCATTACAGTTGATCGAAATCAGTCAGTTACAAATTGTTCATCTATATACCCACATTTGTATGTTTCTTTCACTAAAATATTTCTATATATTTAAAAATTACTTTCATATTTTTTTAATATATATATCTTATAATAATATATAATATAATAATATAATATAATAATAATATAATGTAATAATATAATATAATAATATAATATAATAATATAATATAATAATAATATAATATAATAATATAATAATAATATAATATAAGAATAATATAATATAATAATAATATAATATAATAATAATATAATAATAATATAATATAATAATAATATAATATAACAATAATATAATATAACAATAATATAATATAATAATATAATATAATAATAATATAATATAATAATATAATATTATAATATAATATAATAATAATATATAATATAATACTATAAAATATAATAATTTATAATGTAATATATGGTCGTTTTTAATACGCTTTTTAAATTTTTTTTTTGATATTTTCATTTTTATATTTAATATTCACGTTTAAAATATTTTTTATTTGAAACTAATAGGTATATAATCTATATTTTTAATATACAAATCAAATTTTATACAAATCTTAGATAGAATTTCAGATTATTTTAAAATATATATAATTTATATATATATATATATTAAAATTATTACTAATATTTATTAGTATATATATATATATAATTTAATATAATTTAATAATTTATTAGTATATATATATATAATTTAATAATTTAATAATAATAATTAATTTAATAATAACAATATATAAAATAAATATATATTATATTAAATAAAAGGAAAAATAAAGGAAAATTTGAGATTGACAGCAAATATAAACTACTACACAAATACTTTCAAATATATAAAAATTTATATATAAATATTTAAATAGGCTAATTAATAATAGTTTTTAGTTTTTACATTTAATAATTAATAATAGTTTTCGTAAATTTTTTCTATTTTTCATATCTATGAGAGATGAAAAAGGTAAATGGTAAGTGTTTACCATCATTTGATTATACTTGTAAGGCTAATTGCTATTAGATAGATGAGAAAATTTTCGAGGGAGTCACTTAGCGATAAAAGTAAAGAAAGGTTCCCGATCCACATTCTTCAGCAAATTTATTCCTATTGGATGCAGGCTTCTGAATTTTGAATCTTGTAACGGTAATATGAGCAAAAATCATTCTGACCTCCAATTGCAACGTATTCCACTTTAATCCTCCATTTTTACTATTGTTTCTAGTTTCTTATTCAAGCAGATTGGTACCAATAATTTTAGCCCTTATTAGTTTCTTTTTTTTTGAAACTGTTTGAAACTGTCCGGTAAAATAATGGCTTAATATTTCCAAAATCTTTTTATTAAATCACTAACATTTTGTTTTTTATCATTTGATAGGTCTACAGTTGTCTACAGTTCCATCACTTATATTTAGGAAATAGTATTCAGGATGATGAGCAATGAAAGGTACTTTTAATGAGAAACTCAGTGATTATTGGAAATAAATCATTAATAAAATTAAACCATAGCTGGATTAAAATTAAATAATAATCGAATAAAATTTGAACTGTGGAAAGGTTAAGAAAGGTAAGGAATGCAGGCTTTCTGTAAAGACAGTCAGAAATATTTTTAAACCTGTACATCTGTAGCGTTCCTGTAATTCTTCCTCAAAACCTTCAAATTCTCTTTGCATTCTTTCGATCAATGGCTATAACTGCCTATTACAATTCAATAATTCTTAGGCTCAAGAATCATTAAGAGATTTGGTGGCATTAAAATGCATTTGATAAGTTAAATAGTAAAAAAACAATAAGTCATGAGAATGGGAACTGAAAATTTAAAATGGCACCAATGTGTGATTTTTGAGACGTTGAAGAGCAATTTGGTAATTGAGAAGTAGTTTAAGCTTCAACAATTTTTAAACAAACAATTTCCTACAGGCAATAAGGATTAAGCAGTTTAACCACCACGTTTAAGAGGTAGTATTAGGTGTTTTTAAAAAGTATCAAGGAATTGCAATAAAAGAATAACAATATGCTAAAGTATCATAGAGGAGTTTGAAGTTAATAATAATCTCAAAGAATTTGAAGAAATGTCGACTTTCAGATTTTGATAGAAGGACATTATGTGAAGCATTAAAGAGGACTGAGGGGATTTTGGGATGTGGATTTGTAACGTGGAGTTCTGAGGGAGCTGCCAAATGATTATCTTAATGAAATAGTATATAAGGGATTTGAGGAGGGGAATGCACTGGTTGCGTATGGTAAAATTCAATTTACTATGTTGCCAAAGATTTTCATAAAATTTTTGATTTCGCTGATTAATTTTATCGGATTTTTTCTTCAGTAAATTTACTCTAACAACTCAAAGTTTACTCAAAATATACTCAAATTTTCTGTAATTTCTTTTGTGAAAATATTTTTATGAAAATTTATAAAATTTCTCTCCTATTAAATCGATTCTATAAAACTACGTAATTTGCCGTCAAATCTTATTTAAGTTATTTTA